TCGTACCTGTTGGCCGTCGCCCGTAGTGTCCATCTAGTGGCGTCCCACATGGATCACTGTGCAGAGCGGCAGAGGATCGTAGGAGCTCAGCTGACGGGGATGGCGCTTGAAGACTATGCAGCAGGTATGGGCCGGTTACCTTCGACTGCGTGTTAGTTTCACTATGACCTCGGGATGAGGGCTTTTCCATGAGCCAGATGGCAGGCAGATGAGGCATGTGTGGGGGTCAGACTGGTACGTAATTCACTGCTGAGGTGAGCAATTGCGGAGGGTGTATCCCCTGTTTTTTTTTTTGGAGCTAGCTGGGATGATGCAAGCGGGGTCATGGACTTGGTGTCGAATATTTGTCAGGAAATGGAGCGCTCATGGTGCAGGCTCTTCTGGCTATAACTGCAGTGTGTGCCCATACGGCAGTGTGGAGGGGGTGTGCTGCTCGGAGTCTCATGGACCCCGCTGGCGGTCCACCAGGGTAAACCACGCAAGGTGGCAATTCTGGTATCCGCACCTGTGTGGATCATTGACTGTGCTCTTTTACAGGCCAGCCACAACCCTATCTCGCTGGGAAGGATTGAGGAGGGCATGAGCATCAAGTGGGCTGCGATGAGCTGTGCTCATCTTTATGCGCAGATCATGTTGCACTTCCAGCTGGGGCTCATAAGGGCTGTTGGTGCACGCTGTTGTCAAACAGTTTCATGTGCTTGGGCTCTACCTGTCGCATAAGCTACTCTGGCTTGATGATTAGCGAAGAAGGGCTCTGTCATGAGAACTGGTCAGTTAGCAAGTAAGAGCTAGCTGGGATGATGCAAGCGGGGTCATGGACTTGGTGTCGAATATTTGTCAGGAAATGGAGCGCTCATGGCGCAGGCTCTTCTGGCTATAACTGCAGTGTGTGCCCATACGGCAGTGTGGAGGGGGTGTGCTGCTCGGAGTCTCATGGACCCCGCTGGCGGTCCACCAGGGTAAACCACGCAAGGTGGCAATTCTGGTATCCGCACCTGTGTGGATCATTGACTGTGCTTTGTAACAACTTCTGGGCTTGGGCAGTCTATCCGAAAAGCTGGTGTGTATGACTACAGTGACTACTCGTGACCGCCCTGGCGTGCAATGGCTTGCAGGCAGAGCGATGGGAGAGTGAACTGATGAGCAGAGATTGAGAATGGGAAAGGGGGGTAAGCGTTGGTTGAGCATAGAATACGGAGAAACCCTATGGCTGCAATGTAAGGGGCGCGCTGCTCAGTGTCTCGTGGACCCCGCTGGCGGTCCACCAGGGTAAACCACGCTGGGTGGCAATTCTGGCATCCGTCTTCTCCCCGTCGTCCTAATGTGTTTCGCTGCGTCCAGCAAACACGCACCAATCTGCAATTGGGTCGTACCTGTTGGCCGTCGCCCGTAGTGTCCATCTAGTGGCGTCCCACATGGATCACTTTGCAGAAAGGCAGAGGATCGTAGGAGGATCAGCTGGCTTGGAATAACACACTTATGTGGAGCTTCGGGCAGTGGGCTTGCTGCCGGGAGGGCAACACGCTGATGTCACCTTGGGATGCAGGGGAAGGCGATTCAACTCTTTACGGTGTAAGTTCGTTGATGCAGGGTGAGCAGTTTTCCAGCTCTGCGAGTTCCGCTTCGTAGCAAAGGAAGCAGAGCATTGTGCATGCAGACCCCAGGGGTTAGAGCTGCAGTAAATCCCATCCTTATGTGCGTGGAAGGATGCGCTGCTCCGAGTCTCGTGGACTCGGCCGGCGGTCCACCGGGGTAAACCGCTCAATGCGGCAATTCCGGCATCCGCACCTCATGCTTTATTGCAACAGGAACGGTTGAGGCCAGCCACAATCCCTTCTACAATGAGTGGGGTGAATGCACCGTTACCGTTGGGATCTCTTGCTCCTCTTCTCAAGAAAGAGTCCGGCGCCCGTAGGTGCACCCTTGTGTGATTGGCGATGTCTGTATTTAGTTGGGCCAGCTTCCAAGGCAAAAGCAGCGTGACTTGAGCTCTGCTTCCTGATTCAGATGTAGGATTCTTTCAAGCGCAGGGTAAGGCAGCTTGCAGAAGTAAGGTGCTGGCAAGCCTGATGAAAGCATAACAGTTGCTGTTTGTTCCGCGAGCTGGCTGGTCTGAAGGTGTGGCGCTCGTATTGCTGTAGCGCAGGCTGTGGTTTTTCTGGCAATGCTGTCTTGACTGACAAATTCAAAAAAAAAACTTGGTGGGTTTTCTCAAAAGACTACATGTGCGTGCGCTTCATGACTAAAAACCTTTTGGTTTGTTGTAAGGTTGATTACCAAGCGTACAGTGTGCGTGAAACTTTTGGAACTTTGCTTATGACAACACAACTGCAAGCAAGCTGTACCCCCAAACCCTAAACCCAAAACCCAAAACCCAAAACCCCAAAACCAAAACCCCAAAAAACCCCAAAAAAACCAAGATTCCAGAAACCCCAAAACCTACCAAAAAGCTCACAAAGAAGCTGTCTTTGATTCAGCAATCTGCGGCGAGAGGTCATCGAGCGCTGACAGTGTGGGGGAGGGGGGGGGCGGAGGGGGGGGGGGAGTGTGTGGGCGGAGGGAGGGGGGGGGAGGGGGGGGGGGGGGGGGTGCTGCAATGCTGGTCGCAGTGCTGGCCAGTTGCGACTAGTGATGCTCAGAGGATCACTGCATCGTCACTTGATGCTTCAGGGAATGTCAAAAAGAAGATGTATGAACCATGACGGACTTGTCTTTGATCTGAGTCCGTTGCCTTCAGTGATCGCCGGTGGTCGTCCGTCGACTGCCACTCCGATGTCAGTGTTGACCTCCATATTGTGCGGTAGTGTCCGCTGTGCGGGGTAGGGCCAATGTGAAAGACGCATGACTGTACGTATGCTCTTTCCTTGCGTATAGCGCCCTCATGCAGTACCGGTACCTGGAGTTCTTGACTGTAGGACGTGATGGGGAAGTGGTTTTTTCCCGACCCTGTGAATCTGGCCACTGTGAAAATGGCATGTTTCTGCTGCCCCAGCAGTGCGGTGTTTGGGGGGACCGAAGCCCATTCATCAATTAAGAACTGCAGTGGCTTACTTGCCGAATGCTGCATGAGCATGACAAGGGGCCCTCCTTCCACCTCTAGTCTACCTGTGGTCATATCAACTGTTGCCCAACGACACGTCAAAGGCAGGTCAGAAGCAGCTATCAAGAAGCTTTGCAAGAATTCTGCCGAGTCTTGCTGCGTGCCGTCAAATCTCCAGCGTGGCAGCAGGCTCCTAAGCGGGAAGGAGTTGACGAGGTTGAGGGGGGGGAGGCAGCACTTGCACGCGCCGAGTTGGAGAAGAGGCTCATGAGGGAATGTAGTGACCTCAATGCAGGATCCAAGATGGTAGTGGCCAACAAAGCCTGCACGGCTGCATTAACATAGCAGTAGTTAGAGGTGTTCTTGAATGCAAGCACTGCCAGGTGAGAGGCTCAGAGCAATGGTAGAGTCGCTCTGAATCTCTTGCTGCGCGGCAGTTGAACCTCGAGTGCCGAGCTGAAGAGGAGAGGAGTTGGGAGGAAAGAGAGAGGAAGTTCTGGCTCTCTGCTGTGATGACTTTGGGAGAGGACTTTATACTGGCAGCAGGTGTAGACTTAGGCTTGGCCTCTGGTAGTGATTGGGGGCTGGATGTCGTGAAGAATGACTGCAATGGTCCTGTGGTGGTCCTGGTAATCTGCAACACTGAATCTCCTAGCAGGATCTGGAACAAGACACCGCACTGCACCGGATGCTTACGCCGATCAGTGACCTTCTTGCTACAGTAGGGACAAGGTATGCCTTTGAGTATTTCCGTCCCGAGCTTTTGGCATTGTGTGGAAGTCATGTCTTGCAGGGCATCCCAAATTCTGCGATGCTCCTGACGCAGGTGCGACTTGACCTTAGTATGATCAGGCGTCCAGAACCCACAGAGCACGCAATGATCCACAAAGCGCTTAGAGGCTGGCTGCCGGGCTAGTTGCGTGACAGTATGAGTGCCAGCTGTGCTGGTTAGATGTTCTCGCGACCATGGATGCACTGGTTCTGTCTGACCTACCTCTTCGCGCAGTGCATGGTTCTGGGCATCTATTCGCCGTAGGGCCTCCGGCTCTCTACAGGCTCCTGAGAGAAGGTGGTCCTTCAGTCCTTTCCACAAGGCAAAGTGTTTGTGGCACGCTGCACAGGTTGGTAGGCCGTCCTTGGAGTGTTCCGGTAAAAAGTCAGGTGGGACATATCGATCTAACGTGTCTCTGTCCATCTTGGCCTTATGTATGTATAACCCTTGTTCAGTTGTAGTTTGAAAGGAGCAGTGCCTGCAGCAATGTTTTGGCTCTTCGTCAGCGTGGGTTACTGCTAGCAAGGTCTCATACTCCGTGAGAACCTCTTGCGCATACTGGATAGCCTTGGGGAGCAGCACTGCATCTTGGTGGCTGTACGGATGCTGTGCATCCTGTGGAGCCGCTTGCTGTGCAGCAAACCGTGTTTGGGATTCCTGTCTTGTTCTTAGTGATCGAACTCTGTTGCTCTGGCGTTCAAACAGCAGTTGGACTGGGTCTTTAATTCCGTAGGCAGCGTACAAGTGATGCGTCGATATGCCCGTGAGATGTACGGGTTTGTTGAGGACAGCTCTGATTTTTCTGGCGTGCCACCTTCGTAGTTGTTGTGCTGCTTCCGTTGTGAGTCCTATGTCAACAAGACCTGCCGAGACTGTCGCCCAGACTGTTGTGTGCCAAATCTTCAATCTGCTTTTTGGGCCGGAGAGTCGTCGGTTGTGCACGTATCGTCGGACTTGCTGCAGCTTTGCATTACCTTCTTGCAATCTGAAGTCTAGCGTCGCCTTCTCCTGGTTACCATAGGAGACATATACACCTAGGTACTTAAAGGAGGTGGATTGCGGAAAGGATTCCTGCGCTTTTGTGCTCCCTATGCGCCACTTGCGGTGTTGGCCCTGGGCGTCGAGGCTTGTTTGGCTGAAAAGTTTATGTGCTCGGGCTGAGGCAGTGCCTGTTAGCTTGACCATCAAATGACACTTGTCGGAGTTCACTTTGAAGCCATATTTTCTGACTATGCGGAGGAGATCAGCTATCATGCTGTGTGCCTGCATCAGATCCCTCCAGCTGGTGATGGTGTGATGAACAGTCAAGTCATCGGCGTATCCCGTCAGGCAGTGCAACACGCGTTCCCAGCCTACGACTTCCGCAAGTTCTCGAAGCGGCTCCCGCAAGGTACGCACCTCATCAGCTGGCAGAGTGTTGGGCGGAGATCCAGCAGCTCTTGAAGGCTCAGGCTCAGGTTGCGCAGCGTGTAGGCCCCGTAGACACGCATGTGGGATTACCTTTTCTTCGGGGTAGGCAGCTAAAGTTCTCGAACATCTGAGCTAGTTGGACTGTATGTCCAGCATCACAAGCAACAAGAAAAAACTTTTGCAAAAAATGTATAGCTGATGAAGAAGTGTACAGATGAATGCTTCTGTGTTGCTTTGAGCCTGAACAAACAGAGTGCTCCATTTTGTCCCATGGTCATGAGCCCAACGCTCTGTGAGTGATGCAGAATCCAAATGCGTCAGATGTTCCAAGTGATGTGGACTTGCCATCTCCGGAGGAGCAGTTGAGTGGTGATCGTGTGGCGAACCAGGCGTTTGAGCCTGACTATCGCTTGTTTGGGGCTGTAGGACTGGATGCAGATACAAGGGAGCTACTGAACGAAGGACGTTCAGGTGGGTCGGAGGAAACAGCGAGACAATCGGCTAGCTCACGCGACCTTGCTGATGTTGGTTCTCCTTTGGGGCCAGTAGTGGCCAGAGTGGGAGAAACAAGTCCAAAGCCTGTGCCAGCTCCTGGTTTGGGTGGGGGTGAGCTTGTTTCGGCAACGCCAGCTCAAGGCTCTGTACAGAAGCCATCGGGCAGCAGTGGTGTGCGTGTGGAAGTGGACGAGGTCGAGCTGATCCCAGATTATTCACAACTTCCGGAGCATCCAGCGGCTCCTTCTTCGTGGACTGGTCGTGCAGTGCAGCCAGGAGTATCTCAAGATGCTGTGGGCTATGGGCCAGGTCCTTTGGATTCGCTCTCTAGCATGCTTCAGGGCTTGTTGGCCGAACAGTTAGCGCCTGTGCTTCAAACCCAAAGACTGCTTGCAGATAGGTTAGAGCGGCTGGAAAGCTCCAGGGGGTCAATGTCTCAAGACTCGGCTGAGCAGAGCCACGACCTGTTGCTGCGCTGCCTGGAAGTTTCCCTTTGGATGCTGGCTTTGGTGGTGGTGTCATGGGTCCTTGTGGTGGTACAATGGGCTTGGGAGCAGCAACCTCAGGATATGGAGGAGGACTGTCGGCAGAGATGGTGGCTGAACTAAACCAGCAGCAGTTCCGAACACAGTGGTGGCAACCTTCTGCGCAGTGTCCACCTCCTCGTTTGCCTGAGCATCTGAGACGATCAACTCCGATCGGCGGTACCGGCAGGGCTGACGTGGGTGTAGCTACTTTGGGTGCTCAGGGGGGTATGGATGTGGATTGGTCCGAAGGGGCTCCATTCGCTGGGCCAGGAAGAACCGCTGATGTAACTCCAAAACACGGGCAGGCTCTGCCAGCGGAGAATGAGAGAGCTCGTCAGAGAGAGGAAGTAGGCACAGTGCTTCAAGGGGTTTCTCGTCCGATGAGCAGTGTGCCGGTCCTTGAGGCTAGCACACCTCAGCTGGGAGGGCAGAGTGCTCCAAGCTCACTCGTACATGTGTTTAGCCCCAACGCCAAGTCCCCATTTAAGCAAGTGTTGCATGAGGGTTCTGTGAGTCACCGTGTCGCAGGGGGTCCCGTTTTGGAGCCCCAGAATGCGCAGATTCGCGCGAGTGAATCTATCCCTCAGAGGGCCTTGTGCGATGAAGCAGGTGGGAGTGGAGCTCGGCCCTTAGAATCTTCGGCAGCTCAGGCTTCTAGAAGCATTGCCGGAGCTTGTTCTGTGGCTGGTGGCACCCCAGCGCACTTCTACAGTCAAGCGGAAGTGCCAAATGTAGGCGAAAGTGGATGTTTAGCTTCAGGACAAGGTCGTTCAGGCGCGGGTTCTGCTCAAGGGTTGTCTGTCCAGGGAGGGATACGCCCTACGTCGTCTCGCGGTTATCCGATATCGCCAGGCGGCACCGAAATCCTGCCTCCACCTCTTCCCCCTCCCGCTTCGCCACATCCCAAAGGGATTTCCGTTACCGCTGCACTTGGTGCCAAGCAAAGCCCAGGAGGAAGTAAGTCCCCCAAACAGAGGGTTGGCGAAGGGTTGGAATGGTTGAAAAGTGTACTTGGTTTGTCGGGTTCTTCCACTGAGTTCGGTGAGCGAGCTGAGGATGTCAGGGTGTCCATTTCAGAGTTGCCGAAGCTGGAAGTTAAGGAACATGAACGGGACTTGGCTCCTCTTCTGTCGGGAGACTGGTTGGCAATGATCAGCCCGGCCATGAAGGACATCTCGCCCACTAGCAGCACATGGTGGTCTCAGGTTGTAGATGCAGCAACTTCCTACTATCAGGAATGGTTGATGTGTGATCCGGTAACGCGGCTCTCATTGCAACCTACAAAACCATATCGGTTTGAACACACCAAGTATGCACGGGTTGAGCAGCGAGCCTTGACGATGCTGTTGCGTGCTGTGCCTACTGTGATCAGGGAGGAGTTGGTTGCGAATCGGAAACTATCATGCATTGAGCTCATAGCCTTGATTCACACAACCTATCAACCAGGCGGGTTGAAGGAAAGAGCTGCATTGCTGCGCTATCTCACGAACCCTGACGGATGCACTGAACCAGTAGCCGCACTCCGTAGTATCAAACGGTGGTCACGGTGGAAGTGTAGAGCAGCCGAGCTGCACATCTCTACTCCAGATCCCACTCTACTGCTAGGAGGTGTGGACACGATGGTGTCAAAAGTGTTTGCGCAGTACCCGGAAACACAGTTTAGGATCTCGTCCTACCGATTTGCAAAGAGCGTTGATCACCAGCCTACTGAAGCTAAGATAGTGGAGCTGGTGAGGTTCGTTCAGGGTGAACTTGAGACTTTGGTGTCGTCGGGTACCGTGAAGTCCAAGTCGAAGGCAGATGGGGATGCAGATGCTGGCAAGCGTCTGAGGGTTGCGGACCCTGAGGCCAAAGGAAAAGGGAGAACTAGAGATGACACTTCGAAGGGTGCTGAGGGTAAGGGCAAGGAGATTTGCAAGCATTGGAGAACTGACAAGGGTTGCAAATTCGCCAAGGCCTGCAGGTTTGCTCATGATCCATTGCTTCCTTCAGAAAAGCGTTGCTTTGCTTGCTCAGCACTCAACCACATGCGGTCGGAGTGCCCTTATCAGCCTAAGGACGGACGCGCCTCAGATGCGCACAAGGGAAAGGGCAAGGGAAGTGAAACAATAGCAAAGGCTAGTGCCCAAGCCTCAACTCCCTCATCCTCCAGCAATCCCGTGCCAGCCTCTCAATCCTCCTGCCAGGCCCCTGCAACTGAACCTGGAGACATTCTTAAGAAAGCTGCTGCTATGATTGAGACCCTGCAAACTTCCATAAAGACTGTAGCTGACGGATACGGGCGTAGGCCAGGTGGTAATGACCCCACGGGCCTAATAGACTCAGGTGCATCTGCTTGTATGCGCGCCAAGGTTGAGGGTGATGTTGTTACTGGGGTTCGTGTGGTGTCACTTGCTCAGGGCGAGGCCGAGGTTGAGGTCAACCAGGCAGGAACGCTGTTGACATCGCAACCCATCGAACCCATAGTGTCAGCCAGACACCTAATCAAGTGTGGCTTCAAGATCACGTGGTCCCGGAGGGCGTTCTTGCTACTTGATCCTCAAGGTGTGGCGGTTCCCGCGGTCATCCAAGCTGGTTGTCCTCGTGTCACGCGTTCGGTTGCGCTATCCCTCATTGATTTCATTGAGAAAACGTCCTTGGAGGAAGGGGCAGCTGTTGAAGACTCTGTGAGGGTTGCTAGGGCTTTGTGTACCGATGGGACCGACCCTTGGCCGGTTGGAATGGCAAAGCTAAAGACGAGCTGTGAGGACGGTGATCTGGTCAAGGCTCAAGCGTGGCATCGGATTACGCTGCAGTCACTTTTCCCTGAGGTTCCCCGTGACTTGGTGGATAGCGCTTCCTCGTTGGTTCCTCCTGAAGGGGTAAAAGGGGTGTTGAATCGCCGAAGAAGGAGGTCAATTGAGCAATCTCAGGGAGTGATTCTTCATCTGTTCTGTGGGAGTGCTAGAAGGGCATTTGACTCTGTAGCCAGTAGGTTTGGACTGAGTGTCTTGTCCATAGATGTCGAAGAGGACTTGTTGAATCCCGCCGTGTACTCCTATACTCTTTCACTTGCGTTGTCCGGTCGGTTGATAGCAGTGTTGTCAGGGCTTCCGTGTCGCACTAGGAGTGTGTTGCGTGGTCAGGGAAGTGGCCCTCCTATTGCGAGGTCGAGGGATGGTGAGTCTAGATGGGGACTTCCTGACCTCTCGCAAGTTGAGCTGGACAAGGTTAAGGCTGACGATGAGCTATGGGTTAAGCAGCTGTTCCTGAGTATGGCCGCACAGTGGGGTTTGCATGAAACTGGCGTGGGTGTGAGGTTGGGGTATGTCCTCGAGAACCCTAGGGATCCTCATGAGCTTTTCGGGAAAATGTTCTCCGCAAGTCCATCTCTTTGGGTCACACCAGAATACCTCAAACTGCAAGACGCCCTGAAACTCACACAGTTCCATGTCGACCAAGGTGCTTTAGGTCATGAACGTCGAAAGCCAACCACTATTGCCTCAACATTTGACGATTGGCCCGAGTGGTGCAGGGAGGTCAAGGGTGCAGGTTGTGGTTCAGGTGGGAGGGAGTTTGGGGACAGCGTGTTGTGGTCCAGGTGGGCGCCGGGGTTAATTGAAGCGGTTGAGCAGTATTTGACTGCGATTGCAACCAAGTTTCAACAACATGCTCCGAGGGAGACGGTGAAGGCTGCCAGGGTTAGGCCCTCTAAACAAACAGTGACGCAAACGCTTCAGGAACATGTAGCAGCGGGACATATCCCCTACAACAAGGCCTGTTGGAGCTGTCTCATGGGGCGTCTAAAGCGACCTCCTCATTTTCGCCAACCCATTACTGACTCTTTTGTCCTGTCTGTTGACTTGGCTGGTCCGTTTGCTGAGGGCGTACATGAAGGCGCGAAGGCCAGGTATTTTCTGGCAGCTAACTTGTCAGTTCCGGTCGATGTTCATGTTGCGGGGGGCGAGGAGCCAGTTGCTGAGAACCCTGACAAGCAAGCACTCAGCGCAAGGGAAGAGCCAGCGGAGTGGGAACAAGCTGGCGATTACAAGGAGCCTGACGCTAAGCACAAAAAGGCGGGCGAGCTGCTTCCAGAAGAAGGGGTTGACGAGGACAGCTATCTAAGTAAGGTAAAAATGGTGAACATTCCTTTTGGAATTCCTTTGAAGGATAAAGGGGCTCAAGAGGTTCTGAGGGCACTGAAGCTCATCGATGCTCGCGCGTCCTGTCTTGGGATAAAAATCGCTCGTTTTCACTCCGACAAGGGTGCTGAATTTGACAACCGCTATGTCAGAGACTGGGCTGCTTCAAGAGGAATTTGGAAGTCCTCTACGGGGGGTGACAACTGGCGCTCAAATGGCGCGGCAGAAGCCTTAGTCGGGATTCTCAAGGACTCGGTCAGGGTTCTCTTGCGGGATGCGCAGTTGGGCCCAAAGGACTGGCCATACGCCTTGAGGCATGCAGCCGGGAGGTTGTTTCAGTCCAGGGTGAAAATGCTGGGTTGGGATCTACCGTCTCTTGTTCCCTTTGGGGCAAAGGTGTTTGTTCATCGCCGAACTTGGCATTTGAAGAAAGATGCTGACAAGGAGTGGGCTGCCAAGGCCGTTGAAGCCAGAGTTCTCGCTCCAGCGCTTGAGATTGATGGAGGGTATCTCGTGCGAACCGTCAGGGATGAGCTGTACAATACCAGCTGTGTGTACGAAAATGTTGAATATCTTGATCCAGCTAGGTTTGTCATTCCTGAAGACAAGGCGACGGAAGCGATTCCCCTTCAGTCCTCTACACGCCGTAGGTACAGGGCCAAGACTACCGTTGCAAGTGTTCATGAAGATCCCGAGGACTTGAAAGCACAAGAGCTCGTTGACACGAAGCCGTTTCCGTTGACAGCGGCAGTCAACTTTCTCTTAGGCTCGTCGTGGATTCGAACCCGCCAGGCCAAACAAAGGCCATTGATGCGTGAATCCGCCGGCACTTGTAAGGTAGTAGGCTTCTTTCAGCACGGGGGCGTGAATGGGGTCACGACTTCCGCAAAGCGCAGTCCTGGATTTGCTAGGCTCGTGAATTGCATCCTTCGCGAAGTTGCCCCTGAAGACACTTGGTCCACGGTGGCGGTCCTCGATCAGGTCAAGTCGGCCCCTCACAAAGACAGGTACAATGACAGTTCCCCAAGTTTGGTCCTGCCGCTGGCGGTGCCGCCCTTGGGCGGTGGAATCTGGGCAGAGTGCCCTGATGGCAACGACGTGAGACTGGTGGGACCTGGTAAGCCCTGTAATGGTAAGGTTTTTTCCTTGAGTTTTTTGACTCCGTTTCGGCTCGACCCGCATGCGTGGCATGCTTCCGAGCCTTGGAGTGAAGGTCGTCGCGTTTTGCTGGTTGCATATAACCTAAAAAGGTTCAGCAAGTCAACGCCAGAACAAGTTCAGCTTCTGAGTGAGCTAGGTTTTCCTGGAGGTGCAAGTTTTTCCGCCGTTGCAGGTCTTCCTGAAGCTGCTTTTGAAAAGCAGGGGGGAGACTCAGACACGCCACAAAAATCTCAAAAAGCCCAAAAATCACAAAAATCCCAAAAAACCATAAAAAGCACCAAACCCTTAAAGAAAGATGAGGGTTCTGTTACGGCTCGTAAGGAGCAAGCTTTTAAGGCTTCAACAGCCTGCGCAAGTGATGAGGCGCAAGGCCGGGGGAGCATGAATCTTGGCCGGGAATCTGCGGTGGTTCCTAGCGTTGACACTTCTCAAACATGTGCAGGAGCTGAGGCGCAGGGTGGGGGGAGTGTGGTTGTGGATGAGGGACTCGTAGGAGACCTAAATTCGTCTTTGGCTAGGGAGTTGATCGCCCCTGCCAACCTTGCTCGCATCGGTCAAGGAAATGATGAGGCTCTGGGACTTAGTAAGGCCTGGGTAGCGGGTCGGGGTTCTGGATGCTTGGGCGTTGAGTGCGGGGCGTGTGTGAAGGACTCTGCTGGGGTCTGCTCGCTCTGTGAGAGAGATGTTTTGTCAGTGGGTCGTTCTTTAAAGGCTTCGCCATCGTTGCTTGGACGTTTCGAGGATGGGAGCTTCGTTGATGGGGTGTTTGGCGAGGGGTTCGAGGGGCCATTTGATGCTCTTGATGCTCGTCAGCCCGGTGTTGGAGTGCAGGTGGAAGGTTCGGGAGCGTGCGGGTCGGTTGGGTCTGCAGGTCGTGATGACTCTCGGATCGCCTGTCTCAGAAAAGCTGAGTGCGGAGCACTAGGCGGAACTTCGTTGTCAGGTAGTGGTTTAGGTAAGGTTGTCCCTTCCCTTCTCCCCTGTTTCCCCGATACTTGGCAGTTGTATGAGTCTGGTGCGTTTGAGGGTGATGAGGATGAGGGTTCGGTTTCATTGGGCCTTTGTCCGGGTGAAGTTGACCCTGAAGTGTCACTTAGGAACCTAAAGGGGTGGTTGAGTGACGAGGGCAGGGCTCAGTGTAGACAGCATGCGGATGTGAGCCAACGATGTCAAGCAGAAGATGCTATAAGGCATGCCGTAGTTCGGAAGATTCTTGAGCTTGAGCAAGCCAGCTGTGCCAAGGCTGGTGAAGAGCTAGAGTACAGTTTGTTGCCAGATGCTGAGGTTCTGTGCACGCATACGGTGCCGTTGATTGAAGTTGAGCGGTACTATGATCTTTGGAAGGAGGCTCTCGAAAAGGAGCTGCATTCGATGATCGATGAAAAGCAGGCTCTCAGAGTGATTTCGGAGGCAGAGCTGACCAAGTACCAAGAAGCCGGAACGCGTGCCATGATCATCCCAAGTAAGCTGGTGTGTACCAGAAAGAGCGGTGGTAGATTCAAGGCCCGGTTGGTGGCCTGTGGCAACTATGTTGATCTTAGTGGCAAGGACGGCGAAAGTCGGAGTGCAAGCGTGGATCTGTATGCCGGCGGAATTGATGCCGCGGTACTGAGACAGGTGTTAGCGCTCGCAGTCAAGAAGAGGTGGTCAGCCGGATCCACTGACGTGTCTACAGCATTTTTGAATGCTGAGCTTCTGGATCGCCAGAGCCCGCTCACTAAGCCGGCGCCCCTCTCTCAGCAAGTTCCGTCAGAAATTGTTGTGCTCCGCCCACCCTCGCTGTTGGTCAAGCATGGTTTGGTGCCTCCACGCAGCTTCATGCTTGTCTTGCGGGCTGTTTACGGCCTGGACCAATCTCCGCGTGACTGGGGCATACGCCGCGACAAGGATCTGCGCACTGTTCGGTTGATGCTTGGCAACCGTGAATGTCGGTTGGTGATGTCGGCTGTTGACAACAATCTGTGGTTCTTGACTACTGGCTGCAAGTCGGACCCTGTGATGGCTTGTTTGATGGTGTACGTTGATGATCTTCTTGCTACGGGACCGTTGGCTGTAATTCGGCCGCTGCTTGCTGAGATCTCCAAGCTTTGGCAATGTGGCGCGGTATCTTTTCTACCTGAGAACACGTCTGAGGTGCCCCTGGTGTTCTTTGGGTATGAAATCAGGCGAGTTGGTCGGAGCTTTCATCTCAGCCAGCGAGACTACGTAACGGAGCTTGCTACAAGGTATCGTGACCTTCCCGCTCCCTCCACACCTCTTCCCCCAGGAACCTTGGACATACCGCCTGCCGAGGTGCAATCAGCCAGCGACCTTAAACAGTGCCAGGCCATGCTAGGCGAAGCGCTGTGGGTTAGTACACGAACTCGGCCAGATGTTGGCTTCGCTGTTTCTCGTCTTTCTCAAGCGATGTCCAAGAATGCAGCTGCAGTTAGGCCACTTTGCATTCACTTGCTAGGGTATCTGTATCGCACCAAAGATTTTGGCCTCTTGTACACAGACCAGTATCCAGCTCAGGGGGAGACGGGTTCGGTTGCTTCTGTCAATGGCAAGTATGTTGTTGAGGCCCAAACAGACGCTGCGTTCGCACCCACATGTGAGAGATCGCACGAGGCCACAATGGTTTACTCTCTGGCGTCGTTGACGGGTTGGCTGTCAACTCGACAACCCTTTGTAGCAGCTAGTACGGCCGAAGCCGAACTACTTTCCGTGACCACTGGCTTCTCGTACGGGAGATCGCAGCGCTTCGTGATTGAGGAAATCGAGGGTTGCAAGGTAGACTTGCGGATCCTTAACGACAATCTCGCGGCTACCACGATATGCAATGCTCAGTCCACCAATTGGCGGACTCGCCATCTGCGTATTCGTGCAGCACATTTGCGGCAGCAGATCAGCGATGGTGAATGTTCAGTATCTCACGTTCCAGGTGAATGCAACACCGCAGATTTAGGAACCAAGGCACTCCAGCCATCGCGGTTCGAAAGGCTCCGGGCAATGATGGGAGTCTTGAGTTTCTCTGAGGTCACTGTTCGCGAACGCACCAGCTCTGTGGTTGTCTCGTCAGGTCCACCGGTAGAGGAAGCTCTCAGGGTCATTGTCGCTGCACTTTGCGTGGCGTCAGCAAAGGGTCAACCGTTGAGTGATGGTTCTGATGACTTTGTCTTCTGGAGAGTTGTGTTGCTTTGGAGCGTGTTTGTGATCGTTGCTTGGGAGATGTTCAGGTGGGGCTGCCGAGTGTGTTACCGGAAACTCACAAGCTGGGATATGCCTGAACCAGACCCAGAAGCCTCCGAATCTGAGAGGGAGCAGGAGCCTGATGAAGAGGATCTCATTGAAGAAGCTGACAGGCCCCAGCATGATGCTGAGCCTCGTGATGAAGATCCTGGTGTAATGCCCTTTCGGTACATTGATGACGTTGTGTACGTTGCTCCACATAGGCCAACATCTGCACACCCCACAGAACGAGAGCAGCAGGCCATAGGGCAGGCAGGGGTTAGGAGGCGTCATGCTTTGAGAGTTTACGCTCCCGAACCTGGTGATGAGCCACCGCCGCATGACAGAGGTGTTGGTTCTGAACATGTTCTTAGGGCAGTCGAGCGTGAGTGGGCCGGCATGCTGACCCATCAAGTAGTCGTTAGGGTCTCCGACCTCGCGCCACTCCCAAGTTTTCAGGGTGGAGGGCCACTGGGGCATCTTGTCGAAGTCAGGGAGCGGGCTGAGGTGTTGTATGGGATGCTGAACAGGCCCCCGTTGATACCTATCGTGCTTCACCCACATTGGCCTCCGCCACCACAGCTGACGGTAAGAGAGCTTCGGATGATGGCATCTGAGTGGGGTGGTCCTGCGAGTTCGCTGCATCAAGAACCACCTCCGGCTTACCACACTGATCAGTACATCTACGTGCCTGAGGTGAGACCACGGGTTCTGGTGAGATGGCATATGAGGCCGCGTGTGAGATTATTCAGCCCAGTGCGGACAACTGCGCCGATTCCTCTCACTGCCCTTACAGGGGCGCGACGTACGCTGCAAGAGTTTGTCAATGGGGACAGGGTCATCTGGGATGATCACTTCATGGATCCAGATCATGCAAGGCGGCATGAAGATCAGCAGTGGAGAGGACGTACCGAGTTCGAAGTAGATCTCGATGAGTTGGCGAGGCTTCAAGGAAGAGATGTGGACCCTGATGAGGTCTGAGTATGCGATGCATGAGTGCAACCTGTATTCTGGTTCAATCCGGACGGCTTGCAAAGGCACCACGAACGAGATTATTTTTTGGGAGTGATGGTCCTCATAACTGCCACGGAGTACAGTTGGTGGCAGCGAAGTCACCTGATCTTCCTGATGTGTTCGGCTGAAGCCGAAGGGGGAGAGCAGCTCCCGCAAGGTACGCACCTCATCAGCTGGCAGAGTGTTGGGCGGAGATCCAGCAGCTCTTGAAGGCTCAGGCTCAGGTTGCACAGCGTGTAGGCCCCGTAGACACGCATGTGGGATTACCTTTTCTTCGGGGTAGGCAGCTAAAGTTCTCGAACATCTGAGCTAGTTGGACTGTATGTCCAGCATCACAAGCAACAAGAAAAAACTTTTGCAAAAAATGTATAGCTGATGAAGAAGTGTACAGATGAATGCTTCTGTGTTGCTTTGAGCCTGAACAAACAGAGTGCTCCATTTTGTCCCATCTCGAAATAGCTTGCCAGTCAGCAAAGAGAACAGGGTAGGGGCTAATTTGCAGCCTTGCTTTATGCCTGTGGTGGACTCAACGGAGCATGAAGTCTGCTGGGATCGAACCGTGTAGCGACTGTTGGAATGCAGTGATGCCACTAATCCCTGGATGTCTAATGGTACCCCTGCCTCTTGAAGAGTATCCATGAGGTCCTGTCGGCGAACCATGTCAAAGGCCTGTGATAAGTCTAGCGCAAAGCAGATCCCCCCCACTAGCTCCGGTTTGCGATTTCCAGCATGCTGGGAGTGCCTGCTGAGCCGCGACTGAGCGCACATGTCGCGTACCTCTCGGGTGTGTTTAGCGACTCTGGAAAGGGCATCTGACAGTCCTCTGTGAGGCTGGTATGCAAATTGTGGCACCGACTTTAAGTATCTGGAGGTATAGGGAGCCAGGAGATCTCTGCAGGCCCCCGCCAGGCCCTTACCATCTGGTCTGATGATCCCAAGGCGACGCAGATTAGCGGGCTTGGTTGGGGGCTTGTCGGGCTTGGGGATGAAGCATAGGTCAGTGTCCTTGAGCTGTGCAGAAAGGATCACCGCCGAGTCAAGCGAGCTGTGCTCAGCCTTGCGGGCTTGCTCGTGGCAGTATTTTGCTAGGTGCTCGCTGGCCGAGTCAGAGCAGAGCTTCCACGCGGCCGCCGACGCTGAGTTCTGAGGAACAGCCTTATGGGGTCTTATGGAGCTTATGTGCTTCGAAAGTAGGGGAGCTGAGAGCGTCGGCAGGCCACAGACCTCAAATTGCAATCTGTCATGTCTTTGGAACACTGCTTTGGCGTGGTCCTGCATGAGTTTGAGCTCCTCCTGACGACGACTACTGCTACTACCCTTGCCTCCCCCCCCCCCAGTGCAACGGGTGTCGCTTTAGGCGTACAACCCGAAAAACGTGGTCGTCGCTTCGTCTCAGAATTCAGGGACACAAGCTTCTTTACAGCATTCCGATTCGAGACGAGCATTGGCGGACAGAAACCAAAAAACATTCGCCAACCAGAACGGCTGGTTTGATGCCCCACGTCAAGATGTGGCTGAGCTCGGACTTGCCGCCACAAACAAGAATTAATCTGTGGAATCGACTCTACACAAGTGCCAGTTGGTCGGTGCGGTGTTTCACTCTGACACTACGAGCACGACAATACGTCTTGAAGACTTGCCTACTGGGCTGCTGATGCGATAAAGGGGCGAACTTCAAAAAACTGACCCAGTTGGTCGGTGCGGAGAAACGATAACGAGCCAGCCGGCCGAAGACAATCGAAGATGCGCAGGAGGAGCTGCGAGGCATTTTTTTAAAATCAGTGAAATATGTCGGCATCAACCCAACACAAAACGCCGACCAAACGTCACAGGTAAAACATCCCAGAAGTCATGAGTTTATGTGCACTATAGACTTCATCGTGTTCTGATCGCCTGGAATGCGTTTCACCATGAATTGGGTGTTTTTTGCTTGGGTGGTTTGGTTTGTGGTTTCTGTCTTGTGGTTGCGGTTTCTCTGCTGGGATTCTGACCGACATGTTTCACTGATTCGGCAAGGACCTGCCCACTGGGCCGCTGATGTGGCAAAGCGGCGTGCGCTTCAAAAACAACAACAACGATTAGCAACTATTCTGGATCTTCGCCGATCTCTTCGAGTTCTGAGTCCGTGGGAGATGTTTCACCTGGTTAGTTTGGTCGGTTCTTGGGTTCCGCTGTCTGGTTTTCGGGTTTTGTGTTGGGTTTTAGGTTCCTGCTTGCTTGGTATGGCCGGCCCCAGGGGTTGATCGAGCGCAAAGCGACGGGCAACAGCACTGTGCCACAGCAGGTGGGACTCGACGATAGCGGAAAGACCGGTTGACCGCATGCGCGTCGCATCTGCGTGATGCGGTGCTAGTGGTCAAGCTCCGGTGGTGCGAAGCACTCTCCCGCGCACTTTTTTAACATTATCCAAAACGCAGGTTTCAGCACTTTTCAAGGTTTTTGGTGTGAAGTTTCAGCGTTTCAAGGCGTCACTAGGTCGTTGTTCAGCTCCCTGCGGTTGTCTCAATTGGAATTTGCTTTGAAGCGCTCTTTGAAGAAATTGTATTTTTGAAGTTTGACGTTTTGTTTGTCAAAGTCCGTAACATCTCATGTTTTCCTTCTCGTTTGAAAAATATTTTTAAATTCCATTCAGACCCACAAGATGGCACGCAGGAATTTTAAATGGCTTTTGATGTGGCAAAATATGTTTTTATTCACGTTGGCCCCCTGGGCATTTGCATGGTGTTTTTGAAGAAATATTTTAATTTTTAGGTGATTTAGTTGCAAAAAGTGAGTAAGGCTCATCTTGTTTTCAGATTGTTTCGTTCAGAATATTCGTCAAACAAGGAAAATTTGAATTTTTCAGTTTGTCGATCCCTTTGAAAACTGAATTTTTCACGTCTCAGTGATTGCAAGGTGCAGTAGGCGGGGTGCCGAGGTACAAGAAAGCCACGTTGTGCTCCCCGTCTTCAGTGGCTGGTGTGCGGGTCCCAGGAGGTTGGCCCATCTTGCGGACATCGGGGACGAGTTATACCTCCGACTACAAAGGCTGCTATTGCTTCTCATGCGATCACAGTGGACGAGCGCCCCAACGATCAAGGGGGACAAAGTTACCATGGGCTATATGCAGTCGACGAGGCCGGTCTACCTCAATACTTACAAGCTGCCGGTGAAGGGCGCGGCCGCCTTGAATTGTTCGGCTGAAGGATTGTTTATTGAGGGGCAGGAGCTCAAGTTCCTGAACGGCTGGTGTGATTGTGAGTCGGGCGACCTTGTCCCATCCAGCTACGACGAGCTCTACGTGCGCGCGCCACGGTCAAGCACGTTTCAGAAACTGCGACCTGAGGCAGTTCTTGAGCTCCACGACCCCCGACCTTTTGCCCTATGAGGACGGCTACGTGGACCAAGTCGAGATGCGAACGAAAGCGCAAGCAGCCGCCACCTTGGAGGCAATCGGATACAAGACTAGTCCTTGGATCATTTTCGGCAGTCTCGGCGCATGGTCAGCGACTTTGAAGGCAGGCTCTGAATCTACAAGCCGCTTGGGCGTGGTCAAGAACATCCTGTGGCGCCGCCTTCACCAGCTTGTTGCGAAGTTCCCCGAGGTCTGGAAGTGGGTACGGGAGGAGTTTGTGACCCTTGAAACTGCGAAGAAAATGCTCCTTGCCTACACCCAAGTCGGCCAAGGCATTGTAACGGCCTCGGTTCACGGCAACATGTCGTGATGCGAACGCTGAGGGTAAGCTTCCACAGGGGTTGCGGCTGAACAGTGAGTCAGTAAGGCTGTTTTCACCAAGATCGTCCTTCTGAGCCGCAGCGCAACCCTTTTTCTGATGGGCTTGAAGCTGTGAACGTTTAGCGCTGGATGTAGCCACCTAACATAACTTGACTTTGTGCTCGGCTTAAGTGGGCTTAGGCTTACGCATTTCTGGAACTGATAGCTGCTGAAGGAAAATCTCCGCAGCAGGCACATGCACTGAGTGCGGGGATTCACTTGAGGGTTTCTTGCGGGTCTGCACGGTGCGGAAAGCGCCAGGTCGAAGGAGAACTTCGATGGGCAGTTGCGGGAAAGCGAAGAGTGGCGAACGGAACGGAACAGCTGTTGGGATAAAAACTCTAAACCCTGAACCCTAAAGTGCAAACCCTGATTCATGGGCAGCCCCTCTTGGCAGAGGCAAGCTTGAAACTCCCGACGAGTAACATATGTTCTGTGCTTTGTTTGCGCTTGCTGGTTGTTTATGTCTCGGCCCGCCGTGCCGTGCCATCAAAGGTAGTGCGGAGTACAGATAGGCAACTGCAAGGCATCAGAGTCACCTACATAGGAGGCAACGCAGCGGCACTTACACATAGAATAGGAGGTCATGTAGGAGCAGAGCAGGGAGAGGGCGTGCCTGCGGAACACGTCTGGAGGAGGCAACAGCACGGTAGGAGCGGCAGAGCAACTGCAGCGCGTAGAGCAGTGTTTTGTGCGCCTTGCCCCCGCCCCCTCAAAGCCTCGTACCCTTCCAGCAGGCGTCTTCCTTGTGTCGCTTTGCCTTCTTGCTCGGGACCTCGGAGGACCACGGCTTTGGGGTTTGGTGGATTTGTTTGTGGTCCAAAGAGTGCAGAGCAGAAGCAGGATGGAGGACTCTCCGGCCCAGGTGCTCATCATCTCGCTTTCGAGCAGAGAGGCGGAGCGGCTTGCAGTGCTTTGCGATGCAGTGGGTTTCGGGTGTCACGAGGGGGTTTCAGGGGTAGGAGTGCAGGTAGTCTGTGCTGGCCGTGCGGTTCCAGACCCAACCTTCTAGGTGCTGGGGCGCCGCTTCCCAGGTTTTCGTCGTCTTCGGCGGGCTGGGCGACGCCAGGCGCTTTGAACCCCAAGCGTGTTGCAGGAACTAACGAGGTAGGACTTAGGAGGGCAGACACGTGGCAGTTGTTAGAGTCAGTTTCGGGAAGAACGCACTAGCCGGGGTCCAACATCAACTACCGTTGTATTCTTAATGCTTTCAGAAACCTAAAATCGCATGTGGTGGTCGCATCATTCATTTTGTCTTTTCTTAATGCTTTCCGAAAACTAAATCTCAAGTTGCGAGAGGCACGTCGGTTTTGCGTGAGCCTGGAGAGGGAACATCCCCCTGCCATCCGGCCCCCCGCCCCCCACCCATCCCGCTTTCTCCCGACCTCGTTTTGGTTCTTGGCAGTGCAAGAAGTCCTTGCTCCCCGGCATCTTGCAAGTGCCACGCTCCTGCTTGAAGTTCGACCCGCCCAGGCTTCAGCAGCTTCGACGCGCCTGGAGCTCGTGTGCTGCATGCAGTTTGCGGAGTTCAGCTTGGGCCCGGTCACTCTGTAGGCTCCTTACGCAGGTCAGGGCCCGTTGCAGGGCATTGAGGTGTGTGTGTGTGGTCATCATGTTCGTCATCTTTGCCCTTCCGGGAGCCCCGGCCCTTCACCTCGTGCTGCGCGTGGCTGCCGAGGCGCCCGGAGCGTTGAGCGTCTTGGGGTGCCAAGTCGTGCCAGGTGCAGCTTCTCAGACGCCAGTTCAGGGTTCAAGTTGATGTCGCACATGTCGGCGCATGCCACATGTTTTCTTTTTGTGCCGTGTAGTGCGTCGGCACACTGCTTCACGCTGCAGATCTGTGTCGGGGGTCAAGCGCTGTTGACATCGTTGAAATCTACCCATTCTGCAGCTTCCCGGTGCAGCATTGGATTGATCTCCATTCCCAGATTTCCAGGTTGCGGATCACCCGCTTGAGATCGCTCTTATGGCCATCATGAGACCCTCCTAGTCCTAGTCTTCAAACACAAAGGCAACCGCTCAGGTCCAGCACGTTTTAGTTTCAGAGTCAAGCATATTGGCAGCCCAAGTCAGAGGGGCAGAATGGCACAGCCTCCGAACACCTCGGTGGGTTTGGGGTTTAGGGTTTAGGGTTTAGGGTTTAGGGTTTAGGGTTTAGGGTTGGATGAGAGCTACCATGTTCAAGGAAGTCTTGGGGCTCGTACCAACGCGGCTACATCAGGACCTGGGAAATGAGGCAGGTCGACTTCGCAGCTTTCTAACGCCGACGCGCAGTCCGCGGAATTTTGGTCAGGGTTTAGGGTTTAGGGTTTAGGGTTTAGGGTCTAGGGTCTAGGAATTAGGGTTTAGGAATGGGTTCAGGGCCTCCCTTGGGTTCCCCGACTTGGCTTGTGAGCCATTACCTCAGGGTTCAGGGATGTATTGTAGCAGCATGTCAGCCAAAATGCATACTTAAGACGCGCTTTCCCCCCTTTTTTGGGTCAATGCCGGAGACATCGAAAGAATAGATCTGCATGTCCTCCCCCCCCCCCCAGAAGCCTCAGGAAAGGAGGAGAAGGGGGGAATGCCAAACAGAGTCACAATGTAGCCTGAGATTCTCTATACAAGACATGCAGCCCCAATGCCCAATAGCGACCACAAGGGAAGGGCGGGCGGGTACAAAGTTTGTCGAGCACATCACTCCTGGGGAAGTTTAAATTCACCAGGCGCCCAGCAGTAGCCGCGGTCACAGGGGCAACATTGCTGCCCACGTGGAACTGTCCACTCTCACTATCTGCAGAGGCCCCAAGCGATCACGATCTGCTCTTGGTTGTGCTTCGTGCCAACAAGCATGGGTTGCAATCTTCAGCCTCCAGACCGAGCAGTAGATTGAAAGCTCAGCGAGCAAAGGAAGGGTAAAGGGCAGTTCGGAGTTGCAATGACGTGCCGTGTTTTTCTTTGGAGCTGCAAAGTCCAGATCGCAGGTGCTTTCCGGGTGCCGCTGGCCTTCCCACTTCTAACCGCTGCCCCGTTGCCAGGCGCGTGCCTGGGCTTAAGAGCAAGTGTGTATCCTTTCGCACGCACCGCGGTTGCTAGTCAACCTCCTTTAAGAAGTTAGCTCTTGGGCAGAGTCATCCCATCATGTCCGGGCAGCTCCCAGCGGGCGACTGCAATACGAGATGGGTGTTCAGCTAATACTTAATACCCTAAGATTGGGTTCGTATACCCCATACCACTATATCCCCACATTGTGAAGCACAGGGTGTCAGCTGGTGATGCACGTTGTCCCGCTCGTGCAGGAGATCACCAGGGGATCCCTTCCGGAGGGTGCCATCGAGGCCTGCGCGTCTGCACACGTCGGTGGCAGTGCAGATGTGTTCGTGTTCGGGTGCCTGTTGCTGGGAGACAGCGTCTGAGCAAGCAAATCGACTTGGCACCTGCCGCGTCTCGTGCGCGGCCACTGGCCCGAGTCCTTTGCGACGCTGGCGCTCCCTTGTAAAAAGTAGCCCTCCGCCGCTGTCGATTTGCCGCATCATGTTCGCTGCTGCGCGCCTGGTTGCGCCTCGGCGTTGCAGAAAAGCCTTCCCCACCCTTGCGCCCCAGGACCCACCCCCCCCCCCCCCCCCCCGAAATTGTGTTCACGTGATTGAGATTGTTTGTTGTTTTTTTGCTTTTGCGATTTTTGCGCAGGCTGTGGCGGTGGCCCTGGCATCGGCCAGCACTTTCGGTGCCCTCGCTGCCTGCGAGCGGGAGCAGGAGGGCTGCGAGCAGGCTGCGCTGCTGCAGGTCACGAAGTCCTCCGAGAAGTCGCTGAAGTCGCTGTGGCCCTTCTCGGGCCTCGTGCAGAAGGCGGGACGGCTCCATTCGGAGCTGGATCAGGAGAGGCTGGACGAGGTGCACAAGGTCCATGCGGACATGGAGGCCCTGGCCAAGCAGAAGCTGGTGGAGTTGGAGTCGAAGAGGATGAAGAGGAACCTCAGCGACTACAACCTGACGCAGGAGGACTTCGGCCTGAGCAACGTGACCCTCACTCTCCTGGACACCGTGCTCACGGAGATGGGCAGCCTCCTTTCGCAGATCAACGCCTCGCACCTCACAGACGAGCAGCTGCTCCTGGACCTCGCCGAGGGCTTTGTGCAGTGCAACACCGACCTGACGGCTCGGCAGGTGCAAAGCGACAACCTGAGCAGCCTGGTGAACGACGCCAGCGACTCCCACGACTTGTGCCGCAGCACCGAGCAGAACTTGTCGGCGCAGAACGCCACCGCTTGGGCCGCCTACCTGGCCAAAGGCAGCGAAGCGCAGCCGCAGGAGGTCTTGGACTGCCTGCAGAACTTCGTGAACGGATACAGCCCTCAGACGTCCGATCACCTTCAATCGATCATTGACTGCGCGTCCACCCTCCAGTCGTGGTCCACAACGTTCGGTGTGAACATGACAGGCCTCCGGGACGCCTACTTTGGGAGCCTGCACGCCCTGAACAATCACAGCGAAGACTGCCGGGTGAACCAGTCCACGCTGGAAAGCCACTTCTGCGAGTACCGGCAGCAGCTCTCGGACAGCTGCCTCGCGATGGATGAGTGCTACCAGAATGTAAACCAGACCTTTCATGATCTCCTGGTCACCATCGCCGCCTCTGACTCGCGCCGTGAGGCCTCCTTCATCGCGGCCACGAAGGTGATCTGCTACGTGAACGTCCTGAAGGCGAACCTCACGCAGCCCGCTGTGCAGGGCTGCCAGGACCTCGTGGTCGACACCACTGGCCTCGCCGTGGCTATCCCCGTGCCCGCTACAAAGCAGGCCTGCGACACGTCGCCCGTTGCCGACTACCCCTGCAACACGACCTGGCAGCAGGAGGAGTACTACAGCAAGAGCTGGTACACGGGAGCCCCGCAGATCCAGCCCGACACCTGCCCGGGGCCCCAGGCGACCGCAATGGTACCCTAGGGAGTGTACGTGCAAGCCTGTTTCTGTCTTTTCCCTCTTGGTTGTTTCTTATGGGGCCCAGGCATATCCTGCGCCGTGTGGGCGGCACCGCCGACGACGACGACCACCACCCTGAATGCCCCGGGTCCTGGTGCAATTTCGGGCCCAGGCATATGTACCAGGATAGTTCAGCTCTGCATCCTTCAGGCTTGGGTAAGTGGGCTTTCGAAGGCAGGGTCTTGAGGACTGAGAGCGGTGAGCCTCTTCGTTGATGGCCTAGGAGGGTTTGAGACTTGCGCCTCGCATGGCTTCGTACTCACTACCAGGACTATCATAATTATCATACTACTCCAGCGTAGCCAAGATGCACGCCAAACCCTGAACGCAGAGAAGAAGGCGTGAAAGTTGACAGCGCCCTTCTGACCACAGGACCCCCAACTCCTCCTGGTACGGTGTTCCACAATGTCCCATCCGTTCTACACGACAATTGCTGCCGAGGCTTGGGCCTCGCTGCTGGACGGCAGTGGCCCAACCCCTCAGGGCCGAACGAACTCGGCCATGTGCGCAGGCGACGGCGCTTTGTGTTCCAAGGGCCAGTGAACGGATCACGTCTGGAGTCTAGAGACCTTGCCCAGGCAGTGGTGGCAAGGCCTATTTGTTTGGCGGCTACAACCACAACAACAACCCCGAGGATCTGGATCGGATGAACGACACTTGGGTTCTGGATTTGTCCGGCCCCAGCTGGGCGGAGGTGAGCGTGACGGAAGGGACGGCGCCAGCTGGGGCCTCAGCTTCACCTTTTCATCTGGTGTCAGATGTGTCAGGGCAAGTGGCACGTGTAGTGCGGGCAGACTCCAGAACAGAGTGTACAAAGCGCATCGAAGTGCCACAACCACTTCCTGCTATCGCCACGTCCCAAGGTGCGCCGGGCCGGGCACACCATGGTCTGCACGGGGGACAGCCTGCTGGTCTTCGGAGGGCAATCCAAGATTGGGGGCACTTCGCAGGGCCACAATGACCTGTGGAAGCTCACGCTGGCAACCAGCACCTGGGAGCAGTTGACACCGAGCGGCACGCTGCCCCCTGCCAGGTCTCAACACTCGGCTGTCTGGAATCCTGACACCCAGAGCATGCTAGTGTACGGTGGAGCCGATAGTACCTTCTTAGGTGACTTGTGGAGCTACAGCTTGACCGCCAACTCGTGGACCCAGCTCACCCCTACTGGGGGTCCGCTGGGCACAAGGGATGAGCACACGGCCCTCTGGAACCCAGTCGACAACACCATGCTTCTCACCGGGGGCACGCGCAGACACGCATCTTTACCCCCAGCCGGCAGCGAGGGCAACGACCTCTGGTCCTACGACCCGCAGGCGAACACCTGGACCGAGTTGATCCCACAGGGAAGCCCGAACGCGCCCGCAGGACGGCGCCAGACCTCCCTCGTCTGGAACACGGCCGCGCAAGCGGCGCTTCTGTTTGCAGGCAACATGGGAAGCCCATCGGTGCTCAACGACCTCTGGGAGTACAAGGCAGCTTCGAACTGGACGCAGCTTGTCCCCGCGACCAGTCCGCCGGCCCGGCACGACCACCAAGCTGTTTGGGCTTCCACTCAGGCGGGGGATTCCCTTGAACATCCTTGAGCACTCGATCAGTTCTGCAATTCTGCGTAGGGGCTGTTGCATCGCAGGTCATGATCGTCTTCGGCGGGTATGACGGCTCTTACTTGGTGGACACCTGGCAGTACACGCCCTGAGGCAGGAAGTCTGACACCGCTCGGGCACTAGAATATTTAGAATGGTCCTCGGGCATATTCAGCCTGGCGAGCACGGCTGCGTCCGGGGAGCGTGTTGTCCATGGCAGTTTTGAAGGCGCGCGAAAGTTCGCGCAAGGCGTTGCGACGCATGAGCTAGGAAGCTTGTCGATGACGCGATCATTGAGAGACACTTTAGAGCCAGCCTTCGGGGCTGGAGCCCCTTCAGAAATCTTTCACCATGCTTATAATTGGAAAATTTCATCTCTGACCGCGGTGATTACCTTTCCAGTCGGCTCCGAGGGCCCTTCGGCACACTCTTGCGTACGAGTGGGACGCATTTGGGGTTCGTGGCTCGTGGGACTTTTAAAGCTTGGGCCGGTTAACAGCCGAGCTCACCGAGTTGCAGCAGCCGGCAGGTATGGAACTTGTTGTCACCATGGCAACACGCCTGTGGCTTGTGAGCAATCCCACGAGCCGCCAAACCTATCTAGAATCTAGACCTATCCGTATTCGGATTCAATGCCTTGGATCGGCATTCGTCGGTGAGGACAACAAGTCGTCCGAGCCTGCAAGTATTCATAGCCACATTAGTGACATGAGTGCCCCGCTAAGTCGCAGTTTCTAGGAAGGCGCGCATTTGCGCACCAGCCATTCGCATTGCTGAAGGATCTTGCAAGGCCCCCATGCTCGAAGGTTGCAGAGTTGTAGAGATCCTACAGAGCCCTGAGGCCTACATCTCAAAAGCAAGTAGAAGCTCAAGGGCCAAACCGAGGGATTTTTGGCCTTCGGGTTTAAAGCTTAGGACTGCTGAGTTTAGGTTAGGGTTGAGGTGAAGGAAGTACTTTGCTGCAGGGTTTGGAGCACCACCCACCCGTTGGAGGCAAGCCACCACGCGTGTTGCGGTGAAGCTGTTGCAGTCACCGGCTGACAGCCTGCAGGCGCCACGTGCGTGGTTTCAATCCTTGCAAGTCGGTCGCCCTCAAACCTTTTTCTTCCGGTGGGTCGTGCATCGAGAAATCCCTTCCCCCCCACCCCCAGCGTGTAGGCGCATGCCCGAATTTCAGGGTCGAATTGGACTCACTCTCTGTCTCGCTCTCTCGCTCTCTCGCTCTCTCGCTCTCTCGCTCTCTCGCTCTCTCGCTCTCTCGCTCTCTCGCTCTCTCGCTCTCTCGCTCTCTCGCTCTCTCGCTCTCTCGCTCTCTCGCTCTCTCGCTCTCTCGTGGTCGTTGCATCTTGCACGATGCTGCAGAGCAAACGTGGAACGCAAGCTTCGGGCCGGCGCATCCCGTCAACCTCTCGAACGGGAGCAGGGCGAATGTTCAGGAGTTGCCTCGAGTAGCCTTGTTGAGGGCGCAGCTGCTGTCGTTTTCCGGAGAGTGGATGCTAGGAGGGCGGTGCCGCGTGTTGTAGATCTTTACAGGCCTCTTCCACCTTATCTTCTTCTTGTCCTTCTTCTTCTTCTTCTTCTTCTTCTTCTGTTTGTTTCATATGACCAAGCTTGCCAAGCTTCTTCCAACGTTGTGAAGCACAGGGTATGAGCTGGTGATGCACGTTGTCTCGCTCGCGCAGGGGATCCCTTCCGGAGGATGCCATCGAGGCCTGCGCGTGTGCACACGTCGGTGGCAGTGCATATGTGCTCGTGTTCGGGTGACTCACACCAAGCAAAGACGACTTGGCACCTGGCGCGTCTCGTGTGCGGCCACTGGCCCGAGTCCTTTGCGACGCTGGCGCTCCCTTGAAAAGTAGCCCTCCGCCGCTCTCGATTTCCCGCATCATGTTCGCTGCTGCGCGCCTGGTCGCGCCTCGGCGTTGCAGAAACAGCTTTCTGCTGCGCTCCTTCGTTTTCCTTGCCCACCCTTGCGTCCCATGACCCACCCCCCCCCCCCCAAATTGTGTGCACGTTTTTTGCTTTTGCGATTTTTGCGCAGGCTGTGGCGGTGGCCCTGGCATCGGCCAGCACTTTCGGTGCCCTCGCTGCCTGCGAGCGGGGAGCAGGAGGGCTGCGAGCAGGCTGCGCTGCTGCAGGTCACGAAGTCCTCCGAGAAGTCGCTGAAGTCGCTGTGGCCCTTCTCGGGCCTCGTGCAGAAGGCGGGACGGCTCCATTCGGAGCTGGATCAGGAGAGGCTGGACGAGGTGCACAAGGTCCATGCGGACATGGAGGCCCTGGCCAAGCAGAAGCTGGTGGAGTTGGAGTCGAAGAACCTCAGCGACTACAACCTGACGCAGGAGGACTTCGGTCTGAGCAACGTGACCCTCACTCTCCTGGACACCGTGCTCACGGAGATGGGCAGCCTCCTTTCGCAGATCAACGCCTCGCACCTCACGGACGAGCAGCTGCTCCTGGACCTCGCCGAGGGCTTTGTGCAGTGCAACACCGACCTGACGGCTCGGCAGGTGCAAAGCGACAACCTGAGCAGCCTGGTGAACGACGCCAGCGACTCCCACGACTTGTGCCGCAGCACCGAACAGAACTTGTCGGCGCAGAACGCCACCGCTTGGGCCGCCTACCTGGCCAAAGGCAGCGAAGCGCAGCCGCAGGAGGTCTTGGACTGCCTGCAGAACTTCGTGAACGGATACAGCCCTCAGACGTCCGATCACCTTCAGGCGATCATTGACTGCGCGTCCACCCTCCAGTCGTGGTCCACAACTTTCGGTGTGAACATGACAGGCCTCCGGGACGCCTACTTTGGGAGCCTGCACGCCCTGAACAATCACAGCGAAGACTGCCGGCTGAACCAGTCCACGCTGGAAAGCCACTTCTGCGAGTACCGGCAGCAGCTCGCGGACAGCTGCCTCGCGATGGATGAGTGCTACCAGAATGTAAACCAGACCTTTCATGATCTCCTGGTCACCATCGCCGCCTCTGACTCGCGCCGTGAGGCCTCCTTCATCGCGGCCACGAAGGTGATCTGCTACCTGAACGTCCTGAAGGCGAACCTCACGCAGCCCGCTGTGCAGGGCTGCCAGGACCTCGTGGTCGACACTACCGGCCTCGCTGTGGCTATCCCCGTGCCCGCTACAAAGCAGGCCTGCGACACGTCGCCCGTTGCGGACTACCCCTGCAACACGACCTGGCAGCAGGAGGAGTACTACAGCAAGAGCTGGTACACGGGCGCCCCGCAGATCCAGCCCGACACCTGCCCGGGGCCCCAGCGGGCCCGCTCCGTTCCCCTCCCCTGACGCGTCATTCCCTTTCCTTTGCCTTGCCTTGCACATGGCGGTTTGATGCGGTTTGCACTCGTATGCTCTACTCATTCAGCTTGCGTTGATGCTGCTTGTAAATTATATATGGCGCACTCCCACGCCAGACCTGGCTGCCATGGCACTCATGGGCCCAAGGGAGCGTACGTGCAAGCGTTCTTTTTCTCTTGCTTGTTTGTTAACGGGCCCAGGCATATCCTGCGCTGTGTGGGGTGCACCGCCGACGACGACCACGACCACCACCCTGAATGCCCCGGGTCCTGGTGCAATTTCGGGCCTGTCATGTTCTTCAGGGTGGTGGTCTTGCGGATGTACTGGGATGCTTAACTCTGCATGTTTCAGGTAAGGTCGGTTCTTCTGTTGATACGGTGGGGCTTTACAGGTGCCCAGGAACTTCGCACTCCATACCCCGCAAGCCCATTTTTCCAGGAGGGAAGCCGCTGGGCGGTGGACTTGCGCCCTTCAACAATCACCCCAGCGCTGAGAGTTTACAGCCATTTTCTGACCTCCAGACCCCCCGACTCCTCCTCAAAGTGCCTCTCAAAGTGGGCCCCTTCCAGCTGCACCCTGGTACGGTGTCCCGCCAGGACCCATCTCTGTTCTCTGCGACATTTTTTTGCTGGCCTTCCCGTCACTCGAATGTTTCAAGCGTTCATGGTACTGTTGTGCTTTCCAAGCCGAGGCGTGGAGCTCGCTGCTGGATGGCAGTGGCCCAACCCCTCAGGGCCGAATCAACTCGGCCATGTGTGCAGGCGACGCGGCGCGTTGTCTTCCAAGAGGGTTGTCAGAGATGCAGAGCCCGGTCACAAGTTGCACAGCTTAGGCACGCGATGCAAGAGGTAAGCGTGTAATAAGGCCCGGCGGGACTCCAAACGATCTCCCAAAAAGCTTCCGCAGTGTCCAAAAGCATCTCCCCAAACCCCAAGACAGAACAACGGCTCAAACACCCCAATCCCGTGGAATGGCCCATGGCCCCGGCACATGAGGGCACCTTGAGCCCTAGTCTATTGAAACCTCAAGCCCGAAACTTCTGAACCTAAACCCGAAAACGAGGAGGGCCCAGCACGCATCTGAAGGTTGCTGTCGCTCCAGCAAGGCCCCATAAATGGCACCCCCAAGAGGGGAGCAAGTTACGCGTTGGGGCTCATGTATGTTGAATGAAAAGTATGCATGGTATGTTTTGTAGATAAGGCTCCAAATGGTGCAATGATATTCGTTGTTCGTGACTCGTAGCTGTCGCTTTTGAAGATTACAACGCCCAAGACGATGCCAAAACGCAGGTTTCTGCCACAGCCGCTCGTGCGTGACACTCGCGAACGCTTGTGAACATTGCGCGGACACGAGCGCGCAACAACGACGTTTGGTTACCTGCTGGACCCCTGCAACCCCAACCTTTCAAAATCGGGTGCTCTTCTGCGACGCATTCGGGGCAAGAAATGTCGGGGCCAAAACAAAGCTCCACCTTGTCTAGAGCCTGCGAGGCAGTGGAGGCAAGGTCTATCTGTTCGGTGGCTACAACCACAACAACAACCCCGAGGATCTGGATCGGATGAATGACGCTTGGGTTCTGGATTTGTCCGTCCCCGGCTGGGCGGAGGTGAGCGTGACGCCAGGGACGGAGCCGGCTGGGACCTCAGTTTCCGCCCTCTCATCTTGAAAGTGGTGACCGGGCAAGTGCAGTGAGTGTAGTGAGTGTAGTGAGTGTAGTGCAGATCGCGAGTCGCTGGCGGTGGCCAAGGTGCGCCGGGAAGGACACAGCATGGTCTGCACGGGGGACAGCCTGCTGGTCTTCGGAGGGCAATCAATGAGTGGGGGCGTGTTTCAGAGACACAATGATCTATGGAAGCTCACATTGGCAACCAGCACTTGGCAGCAGTTGACACAAACAAGTGGCACGCTGCCTCCTCCCAGGAGTGGACACTCGGCTGTCTGGAATCCCGACACTCAGAGCATGCTCGTGTACGCTGGAGCTGATGGTAGTACTCGTCTCAGTGACCTTTGGAGCTACAGCTTGACCACCAACGTGTTCACCCAACTCACCCCTACCGGGGGTCCACTGGGTGATAGGTGGGAGCATGCGGCGCTTTGGAACCCAGTCGACAACACCATGCTCATCACCGCGGGCTTTCGCATGAATGTACCGGGCACACCGGGCACGCCGTTGGGCAACGACCTCTGGTCCTACGACCCGCAGGCCAACACCTGGACCGAGTTGATCCCCCAGGGAAGCCCGAACGCGCCTTCAGCCCGGCGCGTGACCTCCCTCGTCTGGAACACGGCCGCGCAGGCGGCGCTCCTCTTCGCCGGCCACGACGGGCAGTTTCTCGACGACCTCTGGGAGTACAAGGCGGGCAACTGGACGCAGCTGGTGCCCGCGTCCAGTCCGCCGGCCCGGGGCTTTCACCTGGGCGCTTGGGCTTCCTCTCAGGCCACAGGGGTCACGTGAACATCCTTGGACAGTCAAGCTCCGGCATTCGGTCTCACGGTTTTCCCAGATTTGGCCAGTTCTGCAGTTCTGTGTAGGGGCATGTAGGGGCCTTTTCACTGCCTTTTTCCGTCGCAGGTCATGATCGTCTTCGGCGGGTATGACGGCTCTTACTTGGTGGACACCTGGCAGTACACGCCCTAAGGCAGGAAGTCTGACACCGCTCGGGCACTAGAATATTTAGAATGCTCCTCGGGCATATTCAGCCTGGCGAGCCAGGCTGCATCCGGGGAGCGTGTTTTCCATGGCAGTTTTGAAGGCGCGCGTAAGTTCGCGTAAGGCGCTGCGACGTATGAGCTAGGAAGCTTGTCAATGGCGCCATCATTTAGAGACACTTTAGATCCGGCATTTGCGTGGAGCCTCTTCAGATATCTTTCGTACAACTCAATTTTGCATCTTTAACCATGATACCTTTCCAGTAGGCTCCGAGGCGCTTCGGCACAATCTTGCGTAGAAGTGGGACGCGTTTTGGGGTTCGTGGCTCGTGGGACTTTAAAGCTTGGGCCGGCCGAAAGCCGAGCTCACCAGGACAGTTGCAGCATCTGCAGCACGCCGCAGGCAGGTACGGAACATGTTGTCACCACGGCAACACGCCTGTGGCTTGCAGCTGAGCAACCCCACGAGCCGCAACCAGAGCGGCCCAACCCAACCCCAACCCGACCTATCTGTATTCAACGCCTTGCGTCGGCATTCGTCAATTCGTCAGTGAGGACAACAAGTCATCGTCTGAGCCTGTATTCATAGCCACTTTGGCAGCCGTCTGCTGAGTCGCAGTTTCTTGGAATTGTCCTCATCAGTCGCACAGAATCTTGAAGGCCCCCATGCTCGAAGGTTGCAGAGTTGGAGACTGGGAGCCGGCAGGATCCGGCAGGATCCGGCAGGTATGGAACTTGTTGTCACCATGGCAGCAGGCCTGTGGCTTGCATGTGAGCAATCCCACGAGCCGCCCAATCTAGAATCTAGACCTATCCGGATTCAACGCCTTGGTTCGGCGTTCGTCGCTGAGGACAACAAGTGATCTCTCTATAGCCACATTACATGAGTGCCTTGCTTAGTCGCAGTTTCTTAGGAAGGCGCGCATTTGCGCACCAGCCCTTCGCACTGCTGAAGGATCTTGCAAGGCCCCCATGCTCGAAGGTTGCAGAGTTGTAGAGGTCCTACAGAGCCCTGAGGCAAGTAGAAGCTCAAGGACCAAACCGAGGGATTTTTGGCCTTCGGGTTTAAAGCTTAGGACTGCTGAGTTTAGGTTAGGGTTTGAGGTGAAGGAAGTACTTTGCTGCAGGGTTTGGAGCACCACCCACCCGTTGGAGGCAAGCCACCACGCGCTTTGCGGTGAAGCTGTTGCAGTCACCGGCTGACAGCCTGCAGGCGCCACGTGCGTGGTTTCAATCCTTGCAAATAGTCGCCCTCAAACCTATTTTTCCGGTGGGTCGTGCATCTAGAAATCCCTTCCCCCCCACCCCCAGCGTGTAGGCGCATGACTGGCCCGAATTTCAGGGTCGAATTGGACTCTCGCTCTCTCGCTCTCTCGCTCTCTCGCTCTCTCGTGGTCGTTGCATCTTGCACGATGCTGCAGAGCAAACGTGGAACGCAAGCTTCGGGCCGGCGCATCCCGTCAACCTCCCGAACGGGAGCAGGGCGAATGTTCAGGAGTTGCCTCGAGTAGCCTTGTTGAGGGTGCAGCTGCTGTCGTTTTCTTACCGACAAGGGTCCTGCGCCGCGCCTGCGCAGCAGTTTAGAGCGAAGGCAGTGCCGGAGAGTGGTTGGTACCGAGTGTTTTAGATCTTTACAGGCCTCTTCGACCTTTTCTTTTTCTTCTTTTTCTTCTTCTTCTTCTTCTTCGTCTTCTTATTCCTCTTCGTCTTCTGTTTGTTCTAATTGACCAAGCTTGCCAAGCTTCTTCCCACGTTGTGAAGAGGAGGGTATGAGCTCGTGATGCACGTTGTCTCGCTCGCGCAGGGGATCCCTTCCGGAGGATGCCATCGAGGCCTGCGCGTCTGCACACGTCGGTGGCAGGGCAGATGTGCTCGTGTTCGGGTGCCTGTTGCTGAGACAGCGTCTGAGCAAGCAAAGCGACTTGGCACCTGGCGCGTCTCGTGTGCAGCCACTGGCCCAAGTCCTTTGCGACGCTGGCGCTCCCTTGTAAACAGTAGCCCGCCGCCGATGTCGATTTGCCGCATCATGTTCGCTGCTGCGCGCCTGGTCGCGCCTCGGCGTTGCAGAAAAAGCCTTCTGCTGCTCCTTCGCCTTCCTTGCCCACCCTTGCATCCCATGACCCACACCCCCCCCCCCTCCCAAATTGTGTTCACGTGATTGAGATTGTTTGTTGCTTTTTGCTTTTGCGATTTTTGCGCAGGCCCTGGCTGTGGCCCTGGCATCGGCCAGCACTTTCGGTGCCCTCGCTGCCTGCGAGCGGGAGGAGGGCTGCGAGCAGGCTGCGCTGCTGCAGGTCACGAAGTCCTCCGAGAAGTCGCTGAACTCGCTGCGGCCCTTCTCGGGCCTCGTGCAGAAGGCGGGACGGCTCCCAGTCGGAGCTGGATCAGGAGAGGCTGGACGAGGTGCACAAGGTCCATGCGGACATGGAGGCCCTGGCCAAGCAGAAGCTGGTGGAGTTGGAGTCGAAGAGGATGAAGCGGAACCTCAGCGACTACAACCTGACGCAGGAGGACTTCGGCCTGAGCAACGTGACCCTCACTCTCCTGGACACCGTGCTGACAGAGATGGGCAGCCTCCTTTCGCAGATCAACGCCTCGCACCTCACGGACGAACAGCTGCTCCTGGACCTCGCCGAGGGCTTTGTGCAGTGCAACACCGACCTGACGGCTCGGCAGGTGCAAAGCGACAACCTGAGCAGCCTGGTGAACGACGCCAGCGACTCCCACGACTTGTGCCGCAGCACCGAGCAGAACTTGTCGGCGCAGAACGCCACCGCTTGGGCCGCCTACCTGGCCAAAGGCAGCGAAGCGCAGCCGCAGGAGGTCTTGGACTGCCTGCAGAACTTCGTGAACGGATACAGCCCTCAGACGTCCGATCACCTTCAGGCGATCATTGACTGCGCGTCCACCCTCCAGTCGTGGTCCACAACGTTCGGTGTGAACATGACAGGCCTCCGGGACGCCTACTTTGGGAGCCTGCACGCCCTGAACAATCACAGCGAAGACTGCCGGGTGAACCAGTCCACGCTGGAAAGCCACTTCTGCGAGTACCGGCAGCAGCTCTCGGACAGCTGCCTCGCGATGGATGAGTGCTACCAGAATGTAAACCAGACCTTTCATGATCTCCTGGTCACCATCGCCTCCTCTGACTCGCGCCGTGAGGCCTCCTTCATCGCGGCCACGAAGGTGATCTGCTACGTGAACGTCCTGAAGGCCAACCTCACGCAGCCCGCTGTGCAGGGCTGCCAGGACCTCGTGGTCGACACCACTGGCCTCGCCGTGGCTATCCCCGTGCCCGCTACAAAGCAGGCCTGCGACACGTCGCCCGTTGCCGACTACCCCTGCAACACGACCTGGCAGCAGGAGGAGTACTACAGCAAGAGCTGGTACACGGGCGCCCCGCAGATCCAGCCCGACACCTGCCCGGGGCCCCAGGCGACCCCAATGGTACCCTAGGGAGTGTACGTGCAAGCCTGTTTCTGTCTTTTCCCTCTTGGTTGTTTCTTATGGGGCCCAGGCATATCCTGCGCCGTGTGGGCGGCACCGCCGACGACGACGACCACCACCACCCTGAATGCCCCGGGTCCTGGTGCAATTTCGGGCCCAGGCATATGTGCCAGGATAGTTCAGCTCTGCATCCTTCAGGCTTGGGTAAGTGGGCTTTCGAAGGCAAGGTCTTGAGGACTGGGGGCGGTGAGCCTCTTCGTTGATGGCCTAGGAGGGTTTGAGACTTGCGCCTCGCATGGCTTCGTACTCACTACCAGGACTATCATAATTATCATACTACCCCAGCGTAGCCAAGATGCACGCCAAACCCTGAACGCAGAGAAGAAGGCGTGAAAGTTGACAGCGCCCTTCTGACCACAGGACCCCCAACTCCTCCTGGTACGGTGTCCCACAATGTCCCATCCGTTCTACACGACAATTGCTGCCGAGGCTTGGGCCTCGCTGCTGGACGGCAGTGGCCCAACCCCTCAGGGCCGAACGAACTCGGCCATGTGCGCAGGCGACGGCGCTTTGTGTTCCAAGGGCCAGTGAACGGATCACGTCTGGAGTCTAGAGACCTTGCCCAGGCAGTGGTGGCAAGGCCTATTTGTTTGGCGGCTACAACCACAACAACAACCCCGAGGATCTGGATCGGATGAACGACACTTGGGTTCTGGATTTGTCCGGCCCCAGCTGGGGGGAGGTGAGCGTGACGGAAGGGACGGCGCCAGCTGGGGCCTCAGCTTCACCTTTTCATCTGGTGTCAGATGTGTCAGGCAAGTGGCACGTGTAGTGCGGGCAGACTCCAGAACAGAGTGTACACAGCGCATCGAAGTGCCACAGCCACTTCCTGCTATCGCCACGTCCCAAGGTGCGCCGGGCCGGGCACACCATGGTCTGCACGGGGGACAGCCTGCTGGTCTTCGGAGGGCAATCCAAGATTGGGGGCACTTCGCAGGGCCACAATGACCTGTGGAAGCTCACGCTGGCAACCAGCACCTGGGAGCAGTTGACACCGAGCGGCACGCTGCCCCCTGCCAGGTCTCAACACTCGGCTGTCTGGAATCCTGACACCCAGAGCATGCTCGTGTACGGTGGAGCCGATAGTACCTTCTTAGGTGACTTGTGGAGCTACAGCTTGACCGCCAACTCGTGGACCCAGCTCACCCCTACTGGGGGTCCGCTGGGCACAAGGGATGAGCACACGGCCCTCTGGAACCCAGTCGACAACACCATGCTTCTCACCGGGGGCACGCGCAGACACGCATCTTTACCTCCGGCCGGCAGCGAGGGCAACGACCTCTGGTCCTACGACCCGCAGGCGAACACCTGGACCGAGTTGATCCCACAGGGAAGCCCGAACGCGCCCGCAGGACGGCGCCAGACCTCCCTCGTCTGGAACACGGCCGCGCAAGCGGCGCTTCTGTTTGCAGGCAACATGGGAAGCCCATCGGTGCTCAACGACCTCTGGGAGTACAAGGCAGCCTCGAACTGGACGCAGCTTGTCCCGGCGTCCAGTCCGCCGGCCCGGCACGACCACCAAGCTGTTTGGGCTTCCACTCAGGCGGGGGATTCCCTTGAACATCCTTGAGCACTCGATCAGTTCTGCAGTTCTGCGTAGGGGCTGTTGCATCGCAGGTCATGATCGTCTTCGGCGGGTATGACGGCTCGTCTTACTTGGTGGACACCTGGCAGTACACGCCCTAAGGCAGGAAGTCTGACACCGCTCGGGCACTAGAATATTTAGAATGGTCCTCGGGCATATTCAGCCTGGCGAGCACGGCTGCGTCCGGGGAGCGTGTTGTCCACGGCAGTTTTGAAGGCGCGCGTAAGTTCGCGCAAGGCGTTGCGACGCATGAGCTAGGAAGCTTGTCGATGACGCGATCATTGAGAGACACTTTAGAGCCTTCGGGGCTGGAGCCCCTTCAGAAATCTTTCACCATGCTTATAATTGGAAAATTTCATCTCTGACCGCGGTGATTACCTTTCCAGTCGGCTCCGAGGGCCCTTCGGCACACTCTTGCGTACGAGTGGGACGCATTTGGGGTTCGTGGCTCGTGGGACTTTTAAAGCTTGGGCCGGTTAAAAGCCGAGCTCACCGAGTTGCAGCAGCCGGCAGGTATGGAACTTGTTGTCACCATGGCAACACGCCTGTGGCTTGTGAGCAATCCCACGAGCCGCCAAACCTATCTAGAAGCTAGACCTATCCGTATTCGGATTCAATGCCTTGGATCGGCATTCGTCGGTGAGGACAACAAGTGATCTCTCGTCCGAGCCTGCAAGTATTCATAGCCACATTAGTGACATGAGTGCCCCGCCAAGTCGCAGTTTCTAGGAAGGCGCGCATTTGCGCACCAGCCCTTCGCACTGCTGAAGGATCTTGCAAGGCCCCCATGCTCGAAGGTTGCAGAGTTGTAGAGGTCCTACAGAGCCCTGAGGCAAGTAGAAGCTCAAGGACCAAACCGAGGGATTTTTGGCCTTCGGGTTTAAAGCTTAGGACTGCTGAGTTTAGGTTAGGGTTTGAGGTGAAGGAAGTACTTTGCTGCAGGGTTTGGAGCGCCACCCACCCGTTGGAGGCAAGCCACCACGCGCTTTGCGGTGAAGCTGTTGCAGTCACCGGCTGACAGCCTGCAGGCGCCACGTGCGTGGTTTCACCCTCAAACCTTCTTCTTCCGGTGGGTCGTGCATCGAGAAATCCCTTCCCCCCCCCACCCCCAGCGTGTAGGCGCATGCCCGAATTTCAGGGTCGAATTGGACTCACTCTCTGTCTCGCTCTCTCGCTCTCTGGCTCTCTCGCTCTCTCGCTCTCTCGCTCTCTCGCTCTCTCGCTCTCTCGTGGTCGTTGCATCTTGCACGATGCTGCAGAGCAATCGTGGAACGCAAGCTTCGGGCCGGCGCATCCCGTCAACCTCTCGAACGGGAGCAGGGCGAATGTTCAGGAGTTGCCTCGAGTAGCCTTGTTGAGGGCGCAGCTGCTGTCGTTTTCCGGAGAGTGGATGCTAGGAGGGCGGTGCCGCGTGTTTTAGATCTTTCCAGGCCTCTTCCACCTTATCTTCTTCTTGTCCTTCTTCTTCTTCTTCTGTTTGTTTTATATGACCAAGCTTGCCAAGCTTCTTCCAACGTTGTGAAGCACAGGGTATGAGCTGGTGATGCACGTTGTCTCGCTCGCGCAGGGGATCCCTTCCGGAGGATGCCATCGAGGCCTGCGCGTGTGCACACGTCGGTGGCAGTGCAGATGTGCTCGTGTTCGGGTGACTCACACCAAGCAAAGACGACTTGGCACCTGGCGCGTCTCGTGTGCGGCCACTGGCCCGAGTCCTTTGCGACGCTGGCGCTCCCTTGTAAAAGTAGCCCTCCGCCGCTGTCGATTTGCCGCATCATGTTCGCTGCTGCGCGCCTGGTCGCGCCTCGGCGTTGCAGAAACAGCTTTCTGCTGCGCTCCTTCGTTTTCCTTGCCCACCCTTGCGTCCCATGACCCACCCCCCCCCCCCCAAATTGTGTGCACGTTTTTTGCTTTTGCGATTTTTGCGCAGGCTGTGGCGGTGGCCCTGGCATCGGCCAGCACTTTCGGTGCCCTCGCTGCCTGCGAGCGGGAGCAGGAGGGCTGCGAGCAGGCTGCGCTGCTGCAGGTCACGAAGTCCTCCGAAAAGTCGCTGAAGTCGCTGTGGCCCTTCTCGGGCCTCGTGCAGAAGGCGGGACGGCTCCATTCGGAGCTGGACCAGGAGAGGCTGGACGAGGTGCACAAGGTCCATGCGGACATGGAGGCCCTGGCCAAGCAGAAGCTGGTGGAGTTGGAGTCGAAGAGGATGAAGAGGAACCTCAGCGACTACAACCTGACGCAGGAGGACTTCGGCCTGAGCAACGTGACCCTCACTCTCCTGGACACCGTGCTGACAGAGATGGGCAGCCTCCTTTCGCAGATCAACGCCTCGCACCTCACGGACGAGCAGCTGCTCCTGGACCTCGCTGAGGGCTTTGTGCAGTGCAACACCGACCTGACGGCTCGGCAGGTGCAAAGCGACAACCTGAGCAGCCTGGTGAACGACGCCAGCGACTCCCACGACCTCTGCCGCAGCACCGAGCAGAACTTGTCGGCGCAGAACGCCACCGCTTGGGCCGCCTACCTGGCCAAAGGCAGCGAAGCGCAGCCGCAGGAGGTCTTGGACTGCCTGCAGAACTTCGTGAACGGATACAGCCCTCAGACGTCCGATCACCTTCAGGCGATCATTGACTGCGCGTCCACCCTCCAGTCCTGGTCCACAACTTTCGGTGTGAACATGACAGGCCTTCGGGACGCCTACTTTGGGAGCCTGCACGCCCTGAACAATCACAGCGAAGACTGCCGGGTGAACCAGTCCACGCTGGAAAGCCACTTCTGCGAGTACCGGCAGCAGCTCGCGGACAGCTGCCTCGCGATGGATGAGTGCTACCAGAATGTAAACCAGACCTTTCATGATCTCCTGGTCACCATCGCCGCCTCTGACTCGCGCCGTGAGGCCTCCTTCATCGCGGCCACGAAGGTGATCTGCTACGTGAACGTCCTGAAGGCCAACCTCACGCAGCCCGCTGTGCAGGGCTGCCAGGACCTCGTGGTCGACACCACCGGCCTCGCCGTAGCTATCCCCGTGCCCGCTACAAAGCAGGCCTGCGACACGTCGCCCGTTGCGGACTACCCCTGCAACACGAGCTGGCAGCAGGAGGAGTACTACAGCAAGAGCTGGTACACGGGCGCCCCGCAGATCCAACCCGACACCTGCCCGGGGCCCCAGGCGAACTTCGTTCCCCTCCCTTCACTCCGACGCAGCAGGCTCATGCATTTGCCTGGTCTTGCAGCAGTGCGGAGCATTGTCATTGCACTCGTTGCCCCAACGGTACCCTAAGGGAGTGTACGTGCAAGCCTGTTTCCGTTTTTTCCCTCTTGGTTGTTTCTTGTGGGGCCCAGGCATATCCTGCGCCGTGTGGGCGGCACCGCCGACGACGACGACCACCACCACCCTGAATGCCCCGGGTCCTGGTGCAATTTCGGGCCCAGGCATATGTACCAGGATAGTTCAGCTCTGCATCCTTCAGGCTTGGGTAAGTGGGCTTTCGAAGGCAGGGTCTTGAGGACTGGGGGCGGTGAGCCTCTTCGTTGATGGCCTAGGAGGGTTTGAGACTTGCGCCTCGCATGGCTTCGTACTCACTACCAGGACTATCATAATTATCATACTACCCCAGCGTAGCCAAGATGCACGCCAAACCCTGAACGCAGAGAAGAAGGCGTGAAAGTTGACAGCGCCCTTCTGACCACAGGACCCCCAACTCCTCCTGGTACGGTGTTCCACAATGTCCCATCTGTTCTACACGACAATTGCTGCCGAGGCTTGGGCCTCGCTGCTGGACGGCAGTGGCCCAACCCCTCAGGGCCGAACGAACTCGGCCATGTGCGCAGGCGACGGCGCTTTGTGTTCCAAGGGCCAGTGAACGGATCACGTCTGGAGTCTAGAGACCTTGCCCAGGCAGTGGTGGCAAGGCCTATTTGTTTGGCGGCTACAACCACAACAACAACCCCGAGGATCTGGATCGGATGAACGACACTTGGGTTCTGGATTTGTCCGGCCCCAGCTGGGCGGAGGTGAGCGTGACGGAAGGGACGGCGCCAGCTGGGGCCTCGGCTTCACCTTTTCATCTGGTGTCAGATGTGTCAGGGCAAGTGGCACGTGTAGTGCGGGCAGACTCCAGAACAGAGTGTACAAAGCGCATCGAAGTGCCACAGCCACTTCCTGCTATCGCCACGTCCCAAGGTGCGCCGGGCCGGGCACACCGTCAAATGGTCTGCACGGGGGACAGCCTGCTGGTCTTCGGAGGGCAATCCAAGATTGGGGGCACTTCGCAGGGCCACAATGACCTGTGGAAGCTCACGCTGGCAACCAGCACCTGGGAGCAGTTGACACCGAGCGGCACGCTGCCCCCTGCCAGGTCTCAACACTCGGCTGTCTGGAATCCTGACACCCAGAGCATGCTAGTGTACGGTGGAGCCGATAGTACCTTCTTAGGTGACTTGTGGAGCTACAGCTTGACCGCCAACTCGTGGACCCAGCTCACCCCTACTGGGGGTCCGCTGGGCACAAGGGATGAGCACACGGCCCTCTGGAACCCAGTCGACAACACCATGCTTCTCACCGGGGGCACGCGCAGACACGCATCTTTACCCCCAGCCGGCAGCGAGGGCAACGACCTCTGGTCCTACGACCCGCAGGCGAACACCTGGACCGAGTTGATCCCACAGGGAAGCCCGAACGCGCCCGCAGGACGGCGCCAGACCTCCCTCGTCTGGAACACGGCCGCGCAAGCGGCGCTTCTGTTTGCAGGCAACATGGGAAGCCCATCGGTGCTCAACGACCTCTGGGAGTACAAGGCAGCTTCGAACTGGACGCAGCTTGTCCCCGCGACCAGTCCGCCGGCCCGGCACGACCACCAAGCTGTTTGGGCTTCCACTCAGGCGGGGGATTCCCTTGAACATCCTTGAGCACTTGATCAGTTCTGCAATTCTGCGTAGGGGCTGTTGCATCGCAGGTCATGATCGTCTTCGGCGGGTATGACGGCTCGTCTTACTTGGTGGACACCTGGCAGTACACGCCCTAAGGCAGGAAGTCTGACACCGCTCGGGCACTAGAATATTTAGAATGGTCCTCGGGCATATTCAGCCTGGCGAGCACGGCTGCGTCCGGGGAGCGTGTTGTCCATGGCAGTTTTGAAGGCGCGCGTAAGTTCGCGCAAGGCGTTGCGACGCATGAGCTAGGAAGCTTGTCGATGACGCGATCATTGAGAGACACTTTAGAGCCAGCCTTCGGGGCTGGAGCCCCTTCAGAAATCTTTCACCATGCTTATAATTGGAAAATTTCATCTCTGACCGCGGTGATTACCTTTCCAGTCGGCTCCGAGGGCCCTTCGGCACACTCTTGCGTACGAGTGGGACGCATTTGGGGTTCGTGGCTCGTGGGACTTTTAAAGCTTGGGCCGGTTAAAAGCCGAGCTCACCGAGTTGCAGCAGCCGGCAGGTATGGAACTTGTTGTCACCATGGCAACACGCCTGTGGCTTGTGAGCAATCCCACGAGCCGCCAAACCTATCTAGAATCTAGACCTATCCGTATTCGGATTCAATGCCTTGGATCGGCATTCGTCGGTGAGGACAACAAGTGATCTCTCGTCCGAGCCTGCAAGTATTCATAGCCACATTAGTGACATGAGTGCCCCGCTAAGTCGCAGTTTCTAGGAAGGCGCGCATTTGCGCACCAGTCCTTCGCATTGCTGAAGGATCTTGCAAGGCCCCCATGCTCGAAGGTTGCAGAGTTGTAGAGATCCTACAGAGCCCTGAGGCCTGCATCTCAAAAGCAAGTAGGAGCTCAAGGACCAAACCGAGGGGTTTTTGGCCTTCGGGTTTAAAGCTTAGGACTGCTGAGTTTAGGTTAGGGTTTGAGGTGAAGGAAGTACTTTGCTGCAGGGTTTGGAGCGCCACCCACCCGTTGGAGGCAAGCCACCACGCGCTTTGTGGTGAAGCTGTTGCAGTCACCGGCTGACAGCCTGCAGGCGCCACGTGCGTGGTTTCAATCCTTGCAAGTCGGTCGCCCTCAAACCTTCTTCTTCCGGTGGGTCGTGCATCGAGAAATCCCTTCCCCCCCCCACCCCCAGCGTGTAGGCGCATGCCCGAATTTCAGGGTCGAATTGGACTCACTCTCTGTCTCGCTCTCTCGCTCTCTCGCTCTCTGGCTCTCTGGCTCTCTGGCTCTCTCGCTCTCTCGCTCTCTCGCTCTCTCGCTCTCTCGCTCTCTCGCTCTCTCGCTCTCTCGCTCTCTCGCTCTCTCGTGGTCGTTGCATCTTGCACGATGCTGCAGAGCAAACGTGGAACGCAAGCTTCGGGCCGGCGCATCCCGTCAACCTCTCGAACGGGAGCAGGGTGAATGTTCAGGAGTTGCCTCGAGTAGCCTTGTTGAGGGCGCAGCTGCTGTCGTTTTCCGGAGAGTGGATGCTAGGAGGGCGGTGCCGCGTGTTTTAGATCTTTACAGGCCTCTTCCACCTTATCTTCTTCTTGTCCTTCTTCTTCTTCTTCTGTTTGTTTTATGTGACCAAGCTTGCCAAGCTTCTTCCAACGTTGTGAAGCACAGGGTATGAGCTGGTGATGCACGTTGTCTCGCTCGCGCAGGGGATCCCTTCCGGAGGATGCCATCGAGGCCTGCGCGTGTGCACACGTCGGTGGCAGTGCAGATGTGCTCGTGTTCGGGTGACTCACACCAAGCAAAGACGACTTGGCACCTGGCGCGTCTCGTGTGCGGCCACTGGCCCGAGTCCTTTGCGACGCTGGCGCTCCCTTGTAAAAGTAGCCCTCCGCCGCTGTCGATTTGCCGCATCATGTTCGCTGCTGCGCGCCTGGTCGCGCCTCGGCGTTGCAGAAACAGCTTTCTGCTGCGCTCCTTCGTTTTCCTTGCCCACCCTTGCGTCCCATGACCCACCCCCCCCCCCCCAAATTGTGTGCACGTTTTTTGCTTTTGCGATTTTTGCGCAGGCTGTGGCGGTGGCCCTGGCATCGGCCAGCACTTTCGGTGCCCTCGCTGCCTGCGAGCGGGAGCAGGAGGGCTGCGAGCAGGCTGCGCTGCTGCAGGTCACGAAGTCCTCCGAAAAGTCGCTGAAGTCGCTGTGGCCCTTCTCGGGCCTCGTGCAGAAGACGGGACGGCTCCATTCGGAGCTGGATCAGGAGAGGCTGGACGAGGTGCACAAGGTCCATGCGGACATGGAGGCCCTGGCCAAGCAGAAGCTGGTGGAGTTGGAGTCGAAGAGGATGAAGCGGAACCTCAGCGACTACAACCTGACGCAGGAGGACTTCGGCCTGAGCAACGTGACCCTCACTCTCCTGGACACCGTGCTGACAGAGATGGGCAGCCTCCTTTCGCAGATCAACGCCTCGCACCTCACGGACGAGCAGCTGCTCCTGGACCTCGCCGAGGGCTTTGTGCAGTGCAACACCGACCTGACGGCTCGGCAGGTGCAAAGCGACAACCTGAGCAGCCTGGTGAACGACGCCAGCGACTCCCACGACCTCTGCCGCAGCACCGAGCAGAACTTGTCGGCGCAGAACGCCACCGCTTGGGCCGCCTACCTGGCCAAAGGCAGCGAAGCGCAGCCGCAGGAGGTCTTGGACTGCCTGCAGGACTTCGTGAACGGATACAGCCCTCAGACGGCCGATCACCTTCAGGCGATCATTGACTGCGCGTCCACCCTCCAGTCGTGGTCCACAACTTTCGGTGTGAACATGACGGGCCTTCGGGATGCCTACTTTGGGAGCCTGCACGCCCTGAGCAATCACAGCGAAGACTGCCGGGTGAACCAGTCCACGCTGGAAAGCCACTTCTGTGAGTACCGGCAGCAGCTCGCGGACAGCTGCCTCGCGATGGATGAGTGCTACCAGAATGTAAACCAGACCTTTCATGATCTCCTGGTCACCATCGCCGCCTCCGACTCGCGCCGTGAGGCCTCCTTCATCGCGGCCACGAAGGTGATTTGCTACGTGAACGTCCTGAAGGCGAACCTCACGCAGCCCGCTGTGCAGGGCTGCCAGGACCTCGTGGTCGACACCACCGGCCTCGCCGTGGCTATCCCCGTGCCCGCTACAAAGCAGGCCTGCGACACGTCGCCCGTTGCGGACTACCCCTGCAACACGACCTGGCAGCAGGAGGAGTACTACAGCAAGAGCTGGTACACGGGCGCCCCGCAGATCCAGCCCGACACCTGCCCGGGGCCCCAGCGGGCCCGCTCCGTTCCCCTCCCCTGACGCGTCATTCCCTTTCCTTTGCCTTGCCTTGCACATGGCGGTTTGATGCGGTTTGCACTCGTATGCTCTACTCATTCAGCTTGCGTTGATGCTGCTTGTGTAAATTATAGAAAGCGCACTCCCACGCCTTGCCTGGCTGCCCCGACTCTTTAGACACAAAGTGCGGAGCTCTGTCATGGCACTCATTGGCCCAAGTGCAAGCGTTCTTTTTCTCTTGCTTGTTTGTTAACGGGCCCAGGCATATCCTGCGCTGTGTGGGGTGCACCGCCGACGACGACCACGACCACCACCCTGAATGCCCCGGGTCCTGGTGCAATTTCGGGCCTGTCATGTTCTTCAGGGTGGTGGTCTTGCGGATGTACTGGGATGCTTAACTCTGCATGTTTCAGGTAAGGTTGGTTCTTCTGTTGATACGGTGGGGCTTTCCAGGTGCCCAGGAACTTCGCACTCCATACCCCGCATGCCCATTTTTCCAGGAGGGAAGCCGCTGGGCGGTGGACTTGCGCCCTTCAACAATCACCCCAGCGCTGAGAGTTTACAGCCATTTTTTGACCTCCAGACCCCCCGACTCCTCCTCAAAGTGCCTCTCAAAGTGGGTCCCTTCCAGCTGCACCCTGGTACGGTGTCCCGCCAGGACCCATCTCTGTTCTCTGCGACATTTTTTTGTTTTTTTTTGCTGGCCTTCCCGTCACTCGAACGTTTCAAGCCTTCATGGTACTGACTGTTGTGCTTTCCAAGCCGAGGCGTGGAGCTCGCTGCTGGATGGCAGTGGCCCAACCCCTCAGGGCCGAATCAACTCGGCCATGTGTGCAGGCGACGCGGCGCGTTGTCTTCCAAGGGGGTTGCCAGAGATGCAGAGCCCGGTCACAAGTTAGCACGGCTTAGGCACGCCATGCAAGAGGTAAGCGTGTAATAAGGCCCGGCGTGACTCCAAAAGATCTCCCAAAAAGCTTCCACAGTGTCAAACACCCCAATCCCGTGGAATGGCCCATGGCCCCGGCACATGAGGGCACCTTGAGCCCTAGTCTATTGAAACCTCAAGCCCGAAACTTCTGAACCTAAACCCGAAAACGAGGAGGGCCCAGCACCCATCCGAAAAGGTTGCCGTCGCTCCAGTAAGGCCCCATTAAAAAAACACCCCCCAAGAGGGGCGGTCATGTGGGAGCAAATTACGCCCAAGCTCCAAAAGTGACGACCGTTCCTCGTGTATGTTGAATCAAAAGTATGCATGGTATGCTTTGCAGATAAGGCCCCCAAATGGTGCAATGATATTCGTTGTTCGTGAGCGCAAGCGCCACGACGCTTGGTTACCTGCTGGACAACCTTTCAAAATCGGGTACGCTTCTGCAACGCATTCGGGGCAAGACATGTCGGGGCCAAAACAAAGCTCCACCTTGTCTAGAGCCTGCGAGGCAGTGGAGGCAAGGTCTATCTGTTCGGTGGCTACAACCACAACAACAACCCCGAGGATCTGGATCGGATGAATGACGCTTGGGTTCTGGATTTGTCCGTCCCCGGCTGGGCTGAGGTGAGCGTGACGCCAGGGACGGAGCCGGCTGGGACCTCAGTTTCCGCCCTCTCATCTTGAAAGTGGTGACCGGGCAAGTGCAGTGAGTGTAGTGAGTGTAGTGAGTGTAGTGAGTGTAGTGAGTGTAGTGAGTGTAGTGAGTGTAGTGAGTGTAGTGAGTGTAGTGAGTGTAGTGAGTGTAGTGAGTGTAGTGAGTGTAGTGAGTGCAGTGCAGATCGCGAGTCGCTGGCGGTGGCCAAGGTGCGCCGGGAAGGACACAGCATGGTCTGCACGGGGGACAGCCTGCTGGTCTTCGGAGGGCAATCAATGAGTGGGGGCGTGTTTCAGAGACACAATGATCTATGGAAGCTCACATTGGCAACCAGCACTTGGCAGCAGTTGACACAAACAAGTGGCACGCTGCCTCCTCCCAGGAGTGGACACTCGGCTGTCTGGAATCCCGACACTCAGAGCATGCTCGTGTACGCTGGAGCTGATGGTAGTACTCGTCTCAGTGACCTTTGGAGCTACAGCTTGACCACCAACGTGTTCACCCAACTCACCCCTACCGGGGGTCCACTGGGTGATAGGTGGGAGCATGCGGCGCTTTGGAACCCAGTCGACAACACCATGCTCATCACCGCGGGCTTTCGCATGAATGTACCGGGCACACCGGGCACGCCGTTGGGCAACGACCTCTGGTCCTACGACCCGCAGGCCAACACCTGGACCGAGTTGATCCCCCAGGGAAGCCCGAACGCGCCTTCAGGCCGGCGCGTGACCTCCCTCGTCTGGAACACGGCCACGCAGGCGGCGCTCCTCTTCGCCGGCCACGACGGGCAGTTTCTCGACGACCTCTGGGAGTACAAGGCGGGCACCTGGACGCAGCTGGTGCCCGCGTCCAGTCCGCCGGCCCGGGGCTTTCACCTGGGCGCTTGGACTTCCACTCAGGCCACAGGGGTCGCGTGAACATCCTTGGACAGTCAAGCTCCGGCATTCGGTCTCACGGTTTTCCCAGATTTGGCCAGTTCTGCAGTTCTGTGTAGGGGCATGTAGGGGCCTTTTCACGGCCTTTTTCCGTCGCAGGTCATGATCGTCTTCGGCGGGTATGACGGCTCTTACTTGGTGGACACCTGGCAGTACACGCCCTAAGGCAGGAAGTCTGACACGGCTCGGGCACTAGAATATTTAGAATGCTCCTCGGGCATATTCAGCTTGGCGAGCCCGGCTGCATCCGGGGAGCGTGTTTTCCATGGCAGTTTTGAAGGCGCGCGTAAGTTCGCGTAAGGCGCTGCGACGTATGAGCTAGGAAGCTTGTCAATGGCGCCATCATTTAGAGACACTTTAGATCCGGCATTTGCGTGGAGCCTCTTCAGATATCTTTCGTACAACTCAATTTTACATCTTTAACCATGATACCTTTCCAGTAGGCTCCGAGGCGCTTCGGCACACTCTTGCGTAGAAGTGGGACGCGTTTTGGGGTTCGTGGCTCGTGGGACTTTAAAGCCTGGGCCGGCCGAAAGCCGAGCTCACCAGGACAGTTGCAGCATCTGCTCGCCGCAGGCAGGTACGGAACATGTTGTCACCACGGCAACACGCCTGTGGCTTGCAGCTGAGCAACCCCACGAGCCGCAACCAGAGCGGCCCAACCCAACCCGACCTATCTGTATTCAACGCCTTGCGTCGGCATTCAGTGAGGACAACAAGTCATCGTCTGAGCCTGTATTCATAGCCACTTTGGCAGCCGTCTGCTGAGTCGCAGTTTCTTGGAATTGTCCTCATCGGTCGCGCCGAATCTTGAAGGCCCCCATGCTCGAAGGTTGCAGAGTTGGAGACTGGGAGCCGGCAGGATCCGGCAGGATCCGGCAGGTATGGAACTTGTTGTCACCATGGCAGCAGGGCCTGTGGCTTGCATGTGAGCAATCCCACGAGCCGCCCAATCTAGAATCTAGACCTATCCGGATTCAACGCCTTGGTTCGGCGTTCGTCGCTGAGGACAACAAGTGATCTCTCGTCCGAGCCTGCAAGTATTCATAGCCACATTACATGAGTGCCCCGCAAAGTCGCAGTTTCTATAGGAAGGCGCGCATTTGCGCACCAGCCCTTCGCACTGCTGAAGGATCTTGCAAGGCCCCCATGCTCGAAGGTTGCAGAGGTGTAGAGGTCCTACAGAGCCCTGAGGCAAGTAGAAGCTCAAGAACCAAACCGAGGGATTTTTGGCCTTCGGGTTTAAAGCTTAGGACTGCTGAGTTTAGGTTAGGGTTTGAGGTGAAGGAAGTACTTTGCTGCAGGGTTTGGAGCACCACCCACCCGTTGGAGGCAAGCCACCACGCGCTTTGCGGTGAAGCTGTTGCAGTCACCGGCTGACAGCCTGCAGGCGCCACGTGCGTGGTTTCAATCCTTGCAAATAGTCGCCCTCAAACCTATTTTTCCGGTGGGTCGTGCATCTAGAAATCCCTTCCCCCCCACCCCCAGCGTGTAGGCGCATGACTGGCCCGAATTTCAGGGTCGAATTGGACTCTCGCTCTCTCGCTCTCTCGCTCTCTCGCTCTCTCGCTCTCTCGCTCTCTCGCTCTCTCGCTCTCTCGCTCTCTCGCTCTCTCGCTCTCTCGCTCTCTCGCTCTCTCGCTCTCTCGCTCTCTCGCTCTCTCACTCTCTCGCTCTCTCGTGGTCGTTGCATCTTGCACGATGCTGCAGAGCAAACGTGGAACGCAAGCTTCGGGCCGGCGCATCCCGTCAACCTCCCGAACGGGAGCAGGGCGAATGTTCAGGAGTTGCCTCGAGTAGCCTTGTTGAGGGTGCAGCTGCTGTCGTTTTCTTACCGACAAGGGTCCTGCGCCGCGCCTGCGCAGCAGTTTAGAGCGAAGGCAGTGCCGGAGAGTGGTTGGTACCGAGTGTTTTAGATCTTTACAGGCCTCTTCGACCTTTTCTTTTTCTTCTTTTTCTTCTTCTTCTTCTTCGTCTTCTTATTCCTCTTCGTCTTCTGTTTGTTCTAATTGACCAAGCTTGCCAAGCTTCTTCCCACGTTGTGAAGCGGAGGGTATGAGCTCGTGATGCACGTTGTCTCGCTCGCGCAGGGGATCCCTTCCGGAAGATGCCATCGAGGCCTGCGCGTCTGCACACGTCGGTGGCAGGGCAGATGTGCTCGTGTTCGGGTGCCTGTTGCTAGGAGACAGCGTCTGAGCAAGCAAAGCGACTTGGCACCTGGCGCGTCTCGTGTGCGGCCACTGGCCCAAGTCCTTTGCGACGCTGGCGCTCCCTTGTAAACAGTAGCCCGCCGCCGATGTCGATTTGCCGCATCATGTTCGCTGCTGCGCGCCTGGTCGCGCCTCGGCGTTGCAGAAAAAGCCTTCTGCTGCTCCTTCGCCTTCCTTGCCCACCCTTGCATCCCATGACCCACACCCCCCCCCCCTCCCAAATTGTGTTCACGTGATTGAGATTGTTTGTTGCTTTTTGCTTTTGCGATTTTTGCGCAGGCCCTGGCTGTGGCCCTGGCATCGGCCAGCACTTTCGGTGCCCTCGCTGCCTGCGAGCGGGAGGAGGGCTGCGAGCAGGCTGCGCTGCTGCAGGTCACGAAGTCCTCCGAGTCGCTGAAGTCGCTGTGGCCCTTCTCGGGCCTCGTGCAGAAGGCGGGACGGCTCCATTCGGAGCTGGATCAGGAGAGGCTGGACGAGGTGCACAAGGTCCATGCGAACATGGAGGCCCTGGCCAAGCAGAAGCTGGTGGAGTTGGAGTCGAAGAGGATGAAGAGGAACCTCAGCGACTACAACCTGACGCAGGAGGACTTCGGCCTGAGCAACGTGACCCTCACTCTCCTGGACACCGTGCTGACAGAGATGGGCAGCCTCCTTTCGCAGATCAACGCCTCGCACCTCACGGACGAACAGCTGCTCCTGGACCTCGCCGAGGGCTTTGTGCAGTGCAACACCGACCTGACGGCTCGGCAGGTGCAAAGCGACAACCTGAGCAGCCTGGTGAACGACGCCAGCGACTCCCACGACTTGTGCCGCAGCACCGAGCAGAACTTGTCGGCGCAGAACGCCACCGCTTGGGCCGCCTACCTGGCCAAAGGCAGCGAAGCGCAGCCGCAGGAGGTCTTGGACTGCCTGCAGAACTTCGTGAACGGATACAGCCCTCAGACGTCCGATCACCTTCAGGCGATCATTGACTGCGCGTCCACCCTCCAGTCGTGGTCCACAACGTTCGGTGTGAACATGACAGGCCTCCGGGACGCCTACTTTGGGAGCCTGCACGCCCTGAACAATCACAGCGAAGACTGCCGGGTGAACCAGTCCACGCTGGAAAGCCACTTCTGCGAGTACCGGCAGCAGCTCTCGGACAGCTGCCTCGCGATGGATGAGTGCTACCAGAATGTAAACCAGACCTTTCATGATCTCCTGGTCACCATCGCCGCCTCTGACTCGCGCCGTGAGGCCTCCTTCATCGCGGCCACGAAGGTGATCTGCTACGTGAACGTCCTGAAGGCCAACCTCACGCAGCCCGCTGTGCAGGGCTGCCAGGACCTCGTGGTCGACACTACCGGCCTCGCCGTGCATATCCCCGTGCCCGCTACAAAGCAGGCCTGCGACACGTCGCCCGTTGCGGACTACCCCTGCAACACGACCTGGCAGCAGGACGAGTACTACAGCAAGAGCTGGTACACGGGCGCCCCGCAGATCCAGCCCGACACCTGCCCGGGCCTGAACCCGCACCAGCTCCGTTCCCCTCCCCTGAAGCGTCATTCCCTTTGCTTTGCCTTGCACATGGCGGTTTGATGCGGTTTGCACTCGTATGCTCTACTCATTCAGCTTGCGTTGATGCTGCTTGTAATTTATATATGGCGCACTCCCACGCCATGCCTGGTTGCCCCGACTCTTTAGACACAACGTGCGGAGCTCTGTCATGGCACTCATTGGCCCAAGTGCAAGCGTTCTTTTTCTCTTGCTTGTTTGTTAACGGGCCCAGGCATATCCTGCGCTGCGTGGGGTGCACCACCGACGACGACGACCACCACCACCCTGAATGCCCCGGGTCCTGGTGCAATTTCGGGCCTGTCATGTTCTTCAGGGTGGTGGTCTTGAAAACATGCCAGCTGAGACTTCCGGCGCTCTCCTGACCACCAGACCCCCCGACTCCTCCTCAAAGTGGTTCCTTCCAGCTGCCCCCTGGTACGGTGTCCTGCCAGGTCCCATCTTTGTTCTGTGCGACATTTTTTTGCTGGCCTTCTCGTCACTCGAATGTTTCAAGCGTTCATGGTATTGCTCCGAGGCGTGGACCTCGCTGCTGGATGGCAGTGGCCCAACCCCTCAGGGCCGAATGAACTCGGCCATGTGTGCAGGCGACGCGGCGCATTGTCTTCCAAGAGGGTTGTCAGAGATGCAGAGACAAGTAAACACGGCTTAGGCACGCGATGCAAGAGGTAAGCGTGTGAGGCCCGGCATGACTCCAAAAGATCTCCCAAAAAGCTTCCACAGTGTCCAAAAGCAGCCGAAACCCCAAGAAGAACAACTGCTCAAACACCCCAATCCTGTGGAATGGCCCATGGCCCCGGCACATGAGGGCACCTTGAGCCCCAGTCCAATAAACCTCAAGCCCGAAACTTCTGAACCTAAACCCGAAAACCCGAGCCAAGCACGCATCCGAAGGTTGCTGTCGCTCCAGTACGGCCCCATAAAAAACACCCCCCAAGAGGGGCGGTCATGTGGGAGCAAATTACGCGTGCATTTTGGTCGTGCACAGCACCAAGCTCCAAAAGTGACGACCGTTACCAGGATGCGAGCCCCACGGGCCTCGTGTATGTTGAATGAAAAGTATGCGTGGTATGTTTTGTAGATACGGCTCCAAACGGTGCAGTGATATTCGTTGTTCGTGACTGGTAACTGTCGCTTTTGAAGATTACAAAGCCCAAGACGATGCCAAAACGCAGGTTTCTGCCCCAGCCGCTCGTGCGCGACTCGCGAACGCTTGTGAACACTGCGCGGACACGAGCACGCAACAACCACGTTTGGTTACCTGCTAGACCCCTGCAACCCCAACCTTTCAAAATCGGGTGCCCTTCTGCGATGCATTCGGGGCAAGAAATGTCGGGGCCACCAAAAAGCTCCACCTTGTCTAGAGCCTGCGAGGCAGTGGGGGCAAGGTCTATCTGTTCGGTGGCTACAACGTCAATAACGACCCCGCTGAGTTGGAGAGATTGAATGACGCTTGGGTTCTGGATTTGTCCGTCCCCAGCTGGGCGGAGGTGAGCGTGACGCCAGGGACGGAGCCGGCTGGGACCTCAGTTTCCAGGGGTGACAGGGCAAGTGTAGTGAGTGTAGTGAGTGTAGTGAGTGTAGTGAGTGTAGTGAGTGTAGTGAGTGTAGTGAGTGTAGTGAGTGTAGTGAGTGTAGTGAGTGTAGTGAGTGTAGTGAGTGTAGTGAGTGTAGTGAGTGTAGTGAGTGTAGTGAGTGTAGTGAGTGTAGTGCAGATCGCAGAGTCGCTGGCGGTGGCCAAGGTGCGCCGGGCAGGACACAGCATGGTCTGCACGGGGGACAGCCTGCTGGTCTTCGGAGGGCAATCAATGAGTGGGGGCGTTGCTCAGAGACACAATGATCTATGGAAGCTCACATTGGCAACCAGCACTTGGCAGCAGTTGACACAAACAAGTGGCACGCTGCCCCCTCCCAGGAGTGGACACTCGGCTGTCTGGAATCCCGACACCCAGAGCATGCTCGTGTACGCTGGAGCTAATAGTGTTACAAATCTCAATGACCTGTGGAGCTACAGCTTGACCGCCAACGTGTTCACCCAACTCACCCCTACTGGAGGTCCGCAGGGTGAGAGGTGGGAGCATGCGGCGCTTTGGAACCCGGTCGACAACACCATGTTCATCACCGCGGGCTTTCGCACGAATGTACCGGGCACACCGGGCGTGCTGTTGGGCAACGACCTCTGGTCCTACGACCCGCAGGCCAACACCTGGACCGAGTTGATCCCCCAGGGAAGCCCGAACGCGCCTGCAGGCCGGCGCCAGACCTCCCTCGTCTGGAACACGGCCGCGCAGGCGGCGCTCCTCTTTGCCGGCCACACCGGCGGCGTCACCCAGCAGTTTCTCGACGACCTCTGGGAGTACAAGGCGGGCAGCTGGACGCAGCTGGTGCCCGCGTCCAGTCCGCCGGCCCGCGGCTGGCACCTGGGCGCTTGGGCTTCCACTCAGGCCACAGGGGATCACAGGGGTCACGTGAACATCCTCGGACAGTCAAGCTCCGGCATTCTCACGGTTTTTGCAGATTTGGCCTGTTCAGCAGTTCTGTGTAGGGGCCTGTTCCATCGCAGGTCATGATCGTCTTCGGCGGGTATGACGGCTCTTACTTGGTGGACACCTGGCAGTACACGCCCTAGGGCAGGAAGTCTGAGGCCCGGATTGGGGCCTCATTAGAACATCTAGAATGCTCCTCGGACATATTCAGCCTGCGCGGCGGCGTCCGGGGAGCGTGTTTTCCATCGCAGTTTTGAAGGCGCGCAGGTTCGCGTAAGGCGCTGCGACGTATCAGCTAGGAAGCTTGTCGATGACGCGATCTTTGAGAGGCACTTTAGATCCGGCCTTTGCGTGGAGCCTCTTCAGATATCTTTCATAGAACTCAGCCTTAAATCTTTAACCATGATACCTTTCCAGTAGGCTCCGAGGCCCTTCGGCACACTCTTGCTTATGAGTGGGCCGCGGTTTTGGGGGTTCTGATGGCTCGTGGGATTTTTTAAGCTTGGGCCGGCCAAAAGCCGAGCTCACCGAGCTACCTGCCGCCTGTGGCTTGCATGTGAGCAATCCCACGAGCCGCCCAACCGAGAATCTAGACCTATCCGGGTTCAACGCCTTGCGTCGGCATTCGTCAGTGAGGACAACAAGCCATCTCTCGCCTGAGCCTGTAAGTATTCGTAGCCACTTTGGCAGCCGTCCGCTAAGTCGCAGTTTCTTGGAATGTTCCTCATCAGTCATTCGCGCAGAATCCTGAAAGGCCCCCATGCTCGAAGTTTGCAGAGTTGAATGGAGACTGGAGCTTCAGCTAAAGCTCCTAGAAATGCAACTCCATGGAAACCAGAAGCCCTAAACCCTAAACCCTAAACCCTAAAGCCTAAACCCTGTAAACCCTGTAAACCCTATAGAGCCTCTAAACCCTGTAAACCACATAAACCCTACAAGCCCTAGAAACCCTAAACCCCTAAATCCTAAATCCTAAGGCCCCAGACCGAACCAAATGGCACCAACTGCGGCTTGAAAGGGTTCTCCACTTGGGGGGCCGGTGGCGACACTGCGCACTACTAGAATCCAGCGTGGTTCAGGCGAGAACTGAGTGTAGGAGATCTAGGAGTGTAGGGGCACCACCAACCCGACAGTAAAGCTACGAGTATTGATGTTGCACCCTCCTTCGCCACACGGTAGGGTCTTGCCTGAAACAAAGAGGGTGCGACACTAGCGACGAGGACGATAGCTTTCTGGCTTTTCCAGCTCGGCGCCTTCTCTGACTGCTCGTCTTGGGTCATCCACGTCGAGTGCTGCTGCAGCCTCAGCCGACCGGAGATGATTTGTCGCAATGAAGGTTCAGGCTATTTTTTGTATGCAAGATTTTCTCCCAGTGGTAGAAGTCTAGACATCATGGAGCACTACGGACCGTGGAGCTTCTGCAGATGATCTTTGTTCGACTTCCAGCACTGCCGTATGCAACGTGGGAACATCTTTTGCGCGTTTCCAAACCCTGAGCAGGCTGAGCGGTGGCAGTGCGAAGCTCAGACGGTGCCTGACTGCGCCTTAGGGTTTAAGGCTTAGAAGATTTTTTTTAGGTTTTTTTGGCTTTTGGAGTTTAGGGTTTAGGGGTTAGGAACTCCGGTGCTTTCTTGGCGCTTATTTTGGCATCGTAGTGGCTGTGCAGGCCCCTGGTTCAAGCACTTCTTTTCCAAGCGTCGGGCCATGGCCACGAGGACGGCTGCTTGTGAGGGCATCTCTGGACATCGCTAGCATGCCATGAGGATCCTGTTCCTACTGGCGTTGCAGGCCCAGCATGCGAAACACGGCTCACCTGTAAAGTAGTGGAGGGTAAGACGCTGCTCCGTTTCGTTGGGGGGAAGTTGCTGCATACCCTGGCCAGGGCTGGATGCTCGCTGGCCTTGGGCACGAAGTCCTGGAGGCGACCTGCGATGAGGCGGCATTGCTCCAGAAGGAGAAACGGATGAACCGCAGCGCCGCAAGTGATGGCTTGGCCGGGCTGACAAGCCGTCTCGCCTCCTCCGTCAGGGCGCTCGGCTTGGGACTCGGGCCCCTGGCGGACAGCTTGAAGAACTTCAACGTTAGCCTCAATGTCTCTGTTTGGCAGGCAGGAGCCTTTCCAGAGCTTGTGCAGCAGCTCGACAGGGTCCTGGAAGATATTCGCAAGGAGGTTGCCGCCGCACTCCGAAGGCTCGAAGAGGGACTTGTTGCTTGCAATGGTCAGCTGCGACAGGAGCTCGGGGTATCTACAGCTGCAGATATCCCCGCTCTGAAAGAACATGCTGAAACCATGCGTAGCTGTACGGATTCCTCTGTCTGGACATGGACCGTCAATGCCTCCTCCATGGGCGCCGTGGGCGGGGGTGCGGAATCAGCCGAATCAGCGGAATGGGTGGGATGGGCCCGACGATGGAAGAAAAGGCCGAAGGCCGAGAGAGAGCGCTGCGAGCATGCGTGGGGTGCGTTCCCGGGCCTCTTTCAGAAGCTCCGGGTGCGCTTGGTGTCCGCTTGCTCATCATACGATGTATGTTGGGCTGAGGCCGAGTCAGCCCACAAACTGGCGGCTGCCTCCACCGATCAGAAGTGGCTCGCCTATGAGGCCACGAGGGGGATAATACGTGAGCTCTGCAGTTTTGGCAACTGCACGGAGGGCGATGCCGGTGAAGATGCTGACTCTGCCAAAGTCTCTGCTGACCTTGCGGCCGTGACGCCGGCCAGACAAAGCTGTGAGCTGGCGGCATGCATTGCGCTGTCCGCCCACACAATGGCTTTGCATTGCGATGCGTCGGCTTGCAGCGCGACGCTTGCTGACCCGGGAAGTGCCTCCAAGCCAGAGGTGCAGAGGGGTGCGGGAATGTGCGGGAATGTATGGGCATGTGTGGGCATGTGTGGGCATGTGTGGGCATGTGTGGGTGTGGGTGAAGACTGTGGCCACTTGTTTTCCGTGTTCTTGCGCCTTGAGCATCCCTCCCCACGCTGCAAAGGCGGAGCACTGCTGGCAATGGCCGGGTCAGCTGAGCTACGAGTGCCACGAGAATTGCAGGGGAGTCGTGGAGCATCAATCTCCCTCCTACTACCGCTGGCACTCCCAAGACCGGCATGCGCAAGACCGACGCTTCCGGCACTTCAGACGCAGGCGCCCTGTGCAAAGCTGTTGCAACGCATGTTTCAAGTGTCAGCCTCCCGGCGTCAGCTGCCAGGTGATGAGTACGCGCCCCCCTTGGCACGAAGTCTGAGGCCCGGATCGGGGGTGCTCGGACACTAGAACAAGTATAAGAGGTATAATAAGATTATTATAAGTATAATAGTCAGTTTAACAAATATAATAAGTAGAAGTAGAATGATCTAGACATGGCCCATTCAGCCTGGCGAGGGCTGCCCAGTCTGGGGAGCTGCTGCGACGTATGAGCCTCCGAAGCTTGTCGATGACGTAACCTTTTAAATGAACTTCAGATCTGGCCTTCGGGCGGAGCCCCTTCAGACATATTCAACTTCATGGTACAATTACGGCATGGTGCTACTTTTTCAGTAGGCTCCAAGGCCCTTCGGTGCAATCTTGGTAGATCTTGCCGCAGATGAGTGGGCCGCGTTTTTGGGGTTCGTGGCTCGTGGGACTTTTAAAGCTTGGGCCGGCCAAGAGCCGAGCTCACCGAGTTGCAGCAGCCGGCAGGTAGCGAGAGCTTGTTGTCACCGTGGCAACACGCCTGTGGCTTGTGAGAAATCCCACGAGCCGCCCAACCTATCCAGACCTTCGGATTCAACGCCTTGGGTCGGCATTCGTCGCTGAGGACAACAAGTGATCTCTCGTCTGAGCTTGCAGACATTCATAGCCACGTTGGTGCCCTTCCGCGAAATCACTCAATTCGGTTGAAAACGGTGTAGTTTCTAGTAAGGTGCGCACCTGCGCACCAGCTGCTCGCACTGTTGAAGATTCTTGAAAGGCTGTATGTTGAACGGCACCTAAAGAGTACTTGTGCCCAAGCAGAGTGGAGCAGAGATGGCCCTCTGAGTCTACGTGGCCCAGTTGCTGACTCTTACTTGCTGAGGCAGCGTCCGTCCCTTCAGCGCACGGTCACACCGAGCAAGGCGCATGGCTGCCAAGATGTTGCGGATATTTTTTGTCTCGAAGAAGATCCTGTGAGAGCATCATGCGTCCGAGCGTCCGGCAGCGATCAACCCTAAACTCGAAAACCCCTGATAGACCCGAAACCCCAAACCCCTTTGAACCCTCCAAGAGTTCCGAGACTTTTCAGGGTTTTGTTGCTCTGGCATTGTGGGTTTTAAGGTTGCAGTCTCGCTTGGTTCGGAGTTGGGACTGAGGGCTGAACCAACCTTAGAGTCCCGGATTTAGGGTTTAGGGTTTAGGGTTTGGGGTTTAGGGTTTAGGGTTTGGGGTTTAGGGTTTAGGGTTTAGGGCAGTTCCTGTCATGGAGGCTTGGTTTGCTGCGCTGAGTGACGACATGAAGCATCGGCAGATTTGCCCTTGACAGCCCGGGGAAAGAGAGTGCAAGGCTGTAAACCCTAAACCCTACACCCTAGCCCCTAAACCCTAAACCCTAAACCTTAAACCTAAAACCCTAAACCCTAAACCCTAAACCCTAAACCCTAAACCCTAAACCCTAAACCCTAAACCCTAAACCCTATGTGGTGTGCGAGCTGCACATCAGAACACGCTACAGAAATGCATCAATCGCATATCCTGCATTTCCAGTTTTGATGGGCTGCGTGAAGATGTGGGCTGTCTTTGTAATGACGAGCTGTAAGGAGAAGGAGCAGGGTTTCGGGTTTAGGGGTTAGAGTTTTAAGGTGTAGGGTCTAGGGTTAGGGTTTAAGGTTTAGGGCTTCCACTACTCAAGTGACTATGTGACATGTTTTTTGACCCAGTTGCATCCGCATGCTGCCATGCAACAGTTGCTTTGCTGTGCCTCTGCATGCCTTGCAAGCCGGCGTTGGCTTCATGCCATATCGGTCGGCCGCAACCGCCCTCAGGCCTTTCATTTATTCGCTGATGCTGCAGTTGGTTTACCGCCCACAACATGGAGTATCCAGAAGCAATGCTCACCCCCCCCCCCCCCCATCTTTGCGTACGCAGATGCGATTGCGGGTTGAAGATGCACGTAAATGGTCCTCGCAAGCCACCTTTCCGAAGGGTGCTGGTGATGAGGTTACTGTGTGAACCGTGCATGTGCTGTTTTGAGATGACAGGGATGCTGTTGATGATGATGGCAGTGATTATCGGGTTTTGGTGTGTAGAGGAAGATCCCTGCGCTGACGCTTGCTGTCAATGATTGGTGTCCTAAGCCCTCAAGGAGCAAAAGAGCATGCTGCATATCCGCGCAGTCCTAGCCCGGCTCAACTTATTGTCTTTGTTTCGACTGCCTCTGAGGGTTTGGGCCGGCAAGCATGGTTTTCACCATTTTCACCAAGAAGCGAAAGATACAACGATCGCGGCTGGCTTTGGCTGCTGCGGTGGTTTGCGTCGTGCTTCTGTCAGACCGAGACCGGCAGGCGGTAACAATTGACAGGAGCACCGGACACCCCAGAGGGAAGGTTCTAAGCTTGAGGCACGGCGTGTGCGCGTTAGCACAGAATCGTTCTGTGATTGCCATTGTTGTTGGCAGGACCTTTATGATGGCCAACTACATCGGGGATGCAAGCTTTGCCTTCACCGGGAGCCTCGCGGCGGGGCTCCAGGGGATGGACTTGTTGGGCTGCAATCTGGTGGGTTTCATCACGGCCCTTGGTGGCGGATCTTTGGCCGCAACGTGTCAGTTTGAGGACAGCATGGTTCTGCCAATTCACATTTTCAAGTTTTGATTTCTAGAGTTGAGTTGGCATAAATGTACTCTCCGATGTTGTAAAACTGTGGAGGTGGAAGTCCCCCAGCCAACAGTTTCGTGCCGCAAACGCCCATGCCCTTCTTTGAAGGAACAATCCGGGATGTGATCTTGGGGCGCATGCCCATTTTCTGGACCACAAATTACGACGAGGCTCTTTTGTGCACCTTGGCATGGTGAGTTGCACTGGCTCCGGCTGTGAGGCGGCTTCTTCAAGCAATAGAGAAAGAGAGAGAGAGAGAGAGAGAGAGAGAGTGAGTGAGTGAGTGAGTGAGTGAGTGAGTGAGTGAGTGAGTGAGTGCGAGAGAGAGAGAGAGAGAGAGTGCGCAAAGAGCACTGGTTTCACGGACTGTGCGAACCAAGCAGCGGGCCTTCCCGGTCGGGGTCCTCTCGGGGGCCTCTTCGCTGGGTAGAAGAAGAAGAAGCAGAAGAAGAAGAAGAAGCAGAAGAGAGCGAGAGAGAGGGATGAAGATGCTGGTGTTTCCAACCTTTTGAAGAATTGGCAGCACGAAAGCTGCTTTGGGAGTCTTTCCGGCGGTCAGGAGGGCTCTGAGTCGAGGTATGTTCATTTCTACTGCCACCTTCTTCGGCTTGCCGTATCTGGCCACGAGATTCGGCATCACCGCCGAAGGGGAGTTTGCGCCTTTGCTGGAAAGTGTGCTGATGTGCAGGTGCCCCTTACCGGTTCTCTTCGGTCTCTTGTTTCGGAAGGTGCCTCTGTAGGGTTTAGGGTTTAGGGTTTAGGGTGTAGGGTTTAGGGTTTAGGGTTTGGGGCGTCGGTCAACAGTGCTCTGAGGTCTTTTGGACTGACACCGTGGGCTTGGCGGCTTTTGCGGTGCTCGGAGCCCGTGTAGCCGCCTGCTTGCCCGACCACCATGTCCACGCAGGCAGGGAAAACAGCAACTTCGATGCCTCCAGACTCGGCAGAAACATAAAATGCCCTAAGCCCTAGACCCTGAACCCTAAACCCTAAACCCTGAACCCTAAACCCTAAACCCTAAACCCTAAACCCTAAACCCTAAACCCGAACCCTACAGCATAGAGGTCAAGTCACGAAAGCCCGAAGGACCCCTGACATCCTGTCGTGTTGACGAGTTCAGAGGGTCCTCAAGGGAGGGGTTCATGGGGGGTATTTGAGACCCTAAACCCTAAACCCTAAACCCTAAACCCTAAACCCTACACCCTAAACCCTAAACCCCAAACCCTACACCATAGGTACCTTGGGAACCGCAGGGGAGCTAAGGGAGTCTTAGGGAGCAGTGGGGAGTTTTTGTCTGTCAATTTGAATTTGGGTTCTACACCCGCCTTAAACCCAAAACCCCTAACCCAAAACCCCAAACTCTAAACCCTAAACCCTGTAACAGAGTCTGGTCATGGCAGGCGCCTGCGCCCTCTGCGGCTTAAGCACGGCTTGCTTCGGCGGCCTTGTGAGGGACATCCTGTGCCCGCTCCTCAGCGTGCCGGGCTCACACATTTGAATCAGTTGGAAACCCTGAGCCCCAAGACCTACGTAACTCTAAGCCCTAAACCCTAAACCCTAAACCCTAAACCCTAAACCCTAAACCCTAAACCCCAAACCCCAAGCCATCAACCCTCAACCCGAAACCCTACACCCAAAACCCAAAACCCTAAACCCTATACCTGTGGCACCACCCAAGGCCAGAAGCCACCCAGGATCCTCTACGCGGAGCACGAGATGCTGGCATACCAACAGTCGAACTTTAATTCGTTGTGTTTAGGGTTTAGGGTTTGGGGTTTGGGGTTTAGGGTTTAGGGTTTAGGGTTTAATCCGAGCATCTGTTTAATTGGGGGGGGGCCCCCCCCCCACCGCAATAAGAAAGGCCGGGTTCCGCAATAGTAAGACCGTGGCGCTGTCTTGATTCTCTATTAAAAACAATAGGCCGCAGATCCCTGAGGTGCTGTAGCTTCGCAGCTCAGCAAGCAAAACAAGAAGCCTGCCGACAGATTTTGGAACCTACCCGAAAACATTTTCTTTAAATGTGGTGGTATTGGCCCATACGAAATCCACCGAAATGGAAAGTAGTCTTCCGGCGGGCTTCTCGGCGAAAAAAAACTCTGTAAATGTGGGTGGTATTAATTAAACAGATGCTCGGATTAGGGCTTAGAGTAATAAAGTGTAACCCTTCTTTGTCCCTTTTGGTGATTGGAGAAGTGAGGATGTATGCCACCCCCGCCTTGCTCGGGGCCTTGGTCTGCGTCGGGCTCATGCGAAGTGGAGCCGCCACTTGGGGGCTGCCATTGTGGCTTTGGGTTTAGGGTTTAGGGTTTAGGGTTTAGGGTTTAGGGTTTAGGGTTTAGGGTTTAGCTAATTAGGGGCAATTGTCAGGGGGTTGACGAAAATACCCGTACTCAAAACCCCCACATCGTAGGATTCTCTTACAATAAGGACCCCAATACGGAACCCCTTCTTTCGGCAACCCCCACTGTGGGTAGAATGGGGAGAGTCAGGGTGGTTGTGGCAGATCCTTGCGGGGGAGAAGTGTTGCTGTTGCGCCTCTGCTGCAATGCATGAGTGTCTCACCAAGGAGACGCCTTTGGATGTCGAGGGCATGCTCTTGGGCGCATGGGTGGTCATTGCACTGCGAGTGCTCGCCCTGAACCACGGAGTTCGCTTGCCGGCTTTCCCGTCAGAAGTCGCTGCCAAAACCGTGCAGTGCTTGGGTGACTCGGATCTGGACTCTGCGCAGGGACTTCTCAGGTCATCATCCTGATGGACTCATTGCATTGGGGTCAGCTTGGCCGTGACATGACCGACAAGACTGTGGCCGGAAGCGGAGCCATGCTACGATGCCACCGTAGTCGTCCTGAAGTTTGTCCTTGGACCGGCTGACCCGCAGAGACCTTGCGACTAGGGTTTGGACGAGGCCTTCACGATGGCACGCTGATGCCCACCGTCGTCCCTTGCGAGGCACGCGAAGTGCCGTACCGCAACACTGCCGCAGCAACGTCAACAAACTGGTGCACTTGTGGCGGTCCTTGTCTTCTTCGACGCCGACCGACTTTCAATCACGTCTGCGGGCAAAAGTCCGAGCTTTGTCAGCGGCTGCATTCTTTGCCGGCCCAGTCTCGAGTAAAGCAATAACCAGTCCTAATGTAAAGGTGCTGACGAGTCCCTTCGAGGATGGTAGCATTTTGCACGTTGGTCTTCCTTTGCTGCTCGCATGACAGCTCTTCTGTGACTCTCGCTCATGGGGCATTCTGCCTGGAAACACATCCAGCTTATCCTCGCAATGAGCGGTGTTGAGGTTCAAGTCTTCTTTGCTCACTGGCACTGTTGCTTCGCGCAAATCATCGGACGTGTTCATCATCGACGCATCTTCGCAAAATCCTTGTCTGCATCAACTACGCACAGTTTTGGAACTGTAGAGCCACGTTCGTGCAGCTCTATTTCGTTGGCAATTTCTGCGCACGGCTCGTGCTTGCTCAACTCCTCTACTCGAGGCGCAGTGATTCCGTCTCACTGTGAGATCCATCTCAGAACAGGAGAAGCGCCGTGCAGAAGCAGAGTGCCAGTGTGCACGATTGACAGCATGGCCACTTCGCACGTCAGGCAAACTTGATGCTGCGCAAGCCGCGGTAGCCGCTCGAAGCTCACCTGCGTCTGATGACTCATCTGGGGGTTTTCGAAATTCGGGGTTGAGGGAACCCTACTATTTGGGCTCTATTCTAGGGTTCCATATCTTTTTGTAGCTGGCATGACCGCTCTGTTGTGACTATCGGCCCGAGCATTCCGTTTCATCACGCCTGCCCACTGCGGCGATGCAAGGAAACATTTGTGGCTCTTATGGCAATGCGACATTCAATGCTGAAATGGTGCTCAAGTTCAGAAGACTTGTTTGTACTCATATCGTCGTCTCTTCTGTAGATTTTACTATCATGTGTGATGGGCAAAGCAATGGCGCGAGCGCAATGAGGACTGCAAGATTCAGTTTGCCCTCCGCAACCTGCTTTTCACAACCATGCTGTTCACAACCATGCGCTTCTAGACCCGAATCTCTAGGCCCTAAACCCAAAAGCCTAAAACCCGAAACCTAAAAACCCAAAACCCAGAACCCAAAATCCTAAACCCAAATTTGACAGCACTCTTGGGCCAGGAGCGGGTCTGTTGGGTTAGCCAAAGACGGCTTTGCTGAACGAGCCTCTGTGTGGATCTGAGCCTCATGCTCCTCAACCCCTACATCCTGAACTGGAGAAACTCTTAAGCCCTGACGTAGATCCCCCCCCCCTCGCGCCTGGTCCCTTCATAAAGTAATAATCACCTTCACAGCATCTGCGCCAGAATCCAGAAAAAACCCGAAACCCTAAACCCCAAACCCTAAACCCTAAACCCTAAACCCTAAACCCTAAACCCTAAACCCTAAACCCTAAACCCTAAACCCTAAACTTCGAGTGGTTGGAGTAGTTCTGGCTTGGCTGGGTGTCCTAGGTGCCGCGAAGCATGCCAGCAAGCCCACCTGCGCGCTCTCTGGCCCTTTTGCGGCAATTTTACAGGGCTTTGGAATGGGGTTTAGGGTTTAGGGTTTAGGGTTTAGGGTTTAGGGTTTAGGGTTCAGGGTTTAGGGTTTAGGGTTTAGGGTTTAGGGTTTAGGGCAAGAGTGCCAAGCTGGCTCTGCTCGCGTTCTTGCTGTGGAGAGGGGGGGGGGGTCTTGCAGGCCAGCGAGCTGCGCCAGCTCTCTACGGCACTGCAGGAGCCGGAAGTCCTTCCTCAGCTGATATGGGGGGGGTTTAGGAAACTAGGGGAGCCTGAGTATAGACAATAAGGACCCCAATAAGGTACCCCCTAATTTCAGAAACCCCCCATATGTGTGTATGTGTGTATGCGTGTATGTGTGTATGTGTGTATGTGTATGTGTGTCTGTCTCTGTCTCTGTGTGTGTGTGTGTGTGTGTGTGTGTGTCTGTCTCTGTGTGTGTGTGTGTGTGTGTGTGTGTGTGTCGGTCGGTCGGGGGCCGGAGGAGCGAACAATAAAGGTTGTGAGGAGTCAGAAGCAGCCACTGATATTTGTCCTTGCCCACGAGCCTGGAGGGCTCATCTGGAGGGGTGTTCTAGGGTTTAGGGTTTAGGGTTTAGGGTTTAGGGTTTAGGGTTTAGGGTTTAGGGTTTAGGGTTTAGGGTAAATGTGAATCCCTGTCAGATGCTGTTTTTGTCATGGGATTCTTTGCAAGACGGTTCCGAAAAGAAGCCTTTGGGAGCAGGCCGTACATCCTAACTAAAACCTAAACCCTGAACCTGGAACCCTAAACCCTAAACCCTAAACCCCAAACCCTAAACCCTAAACCCTAAACCCTGAACCCTGAACCCTGAACCCCGGAACCATAGTTGCCAGAGTGCCTCGAGCTCTGCTGGCCAGGAGTCTCCGGATGCGGACTTCAGCTCCACGTCGCTTGCTTCCTGCAGCGGTACCGGCGCGCTTGCTGTGTGCGGCGAGCTAGCCCCCTAAACCCTAAACCCTAAACCCTAAACCCTAAACCCTAAACCCTAAACCCTGAACCCTGAACCTTGAACCCTAAACCCTAAAGCCCAAGTGCCATGAGCTCCGAGCGCTAGCCTTGCACTCGGACTTCTGAAGCTCTCACCCTCTTTGCTTTTCAAACTTCAACCCCAAGATCAGCCCTCAGCCCTGAACCCTGCTTGTCACACCCTTGCAACCCTTCTGTTTAAGCGGCTACCTGACAAACACCCAAAACTCTGCACCCCTAAACCCTGAACCTTAAACCCCTAAACCCTAAACCCTAAACCCTAAACCCTAAACCCTAAACCCTAAACCCTAAACCCCTAAACCCCTAAACCCCTAAACCCCTAAACCCCTAAGCCCCTAAACCCTAAACTTCGCCGAAACCCTAGACCCCTATTTCCAGCATCCTGAATCTCAGCAGGCAACATCAGCCACCTACAAAACCGGAGCGGGGATGCTGCGCGAAAGCCTTGGTTCCCAACCCTGAAGCCCTATGTGGTTGAGGGTTTAGGGTTAGGGCTTCGGGCTTAGGGTTTAGGGTTTAGGGCCTACACTAGGGCTAATAGGTTTTAGGGTCTAGGGTTTAGAGTTTGGGGTTTAGGGTTAGGGTGTTCAGGTTTTCGTGGTGTTGGGGTTTGAGGGTTTACGGTTGCGGTTCCAGGGTCGTTGCGGCCGGGGGGGGGGGGGGGGGGTTTTGGGTTCCAAGAAATCCCTCGCAACCTCCCTTACGATTCCTCTCTTCTACTTATTTGGGTTTCCGAAATTAGGGGTAGCTTCTTGGGGTCCATAGTACAAGGGGATCCTACCATTTGGGGATCTATATTGGGGCTCCCCTAAATTGCCTCATGAAGCTCTGGCAGCTTTGGCCAGGCCTTTCGGTCCTAAGAAAGGGTACTTGGAGGTTCAGCGTACTTAGTAACCCAATTATATGTAGTTATGGCCGCATATAAGCCCCTTAAGTACCCCAACAGGGCTATAAGTGGTTAGAAGTGCAGTTGTATTTTGGGTTGCTAAGTACCATGAACCTCCAAGTATAGGGCCATCCGGAGCTGAACAGTCGAGGCAGTCATCAAGCAGCCGACGACGCAATGTTGCTTTGGGAGGCAGGACTTGATTCGACGTGTTGCGTTGCTGGGTGTTGGGGTGGGGGCCCTGCAGAAGTAACTTTATTGTAGGTAGCTTTTGCTCAGTACACATTATACACATTCTGTCGAAAGTTGCATGACCTTAAATTTGAGTAACGTTGTAGTCTCCTGCTTGTATTCCAGGTCTAATTGTTGGACCACACAAGCTGTCTGTCGGCCGCTGATAGGCCCAGCTTTGCGAGACCTTTGGAGCTCCATTGCCCAGCTGAAGGCCTTCGCGGTGGTTCGGAGAGAATGTTTAGGAGACATCGAGCCATGTCTTGTACCCTGCAAATGACGTCCGCACGCCCGCAGCTCGAATAAACCCCCACAAGCACACAAGGCCCAGGAGCTTAGGGCAGAGCCTTAGGCCGCGAAACCGCGAAGCCCTGCAAGCGTCAGGGTCAGTCCGACAGCAGCCGGCGACGCCTGGCGCAAGTGGAGCAGCGTTTAGAAGCACAGCTCCAGGCCTCTTCCATGCAAGCAGGGTTGAGGGTAAACCCTTGGGGTAGGAAATCTCACAGACCGCAGTGGGAACGCCCAACCCTAAACCCTGCGGCGCTGGGCTTCCCTAAGCCCTAAGCCCTAAACCCTAAACCCTAAACCCTAGCCCTAAACCCTAAGCCGTCAACCCTCCAAGAATTTGAGTGTGCGTCTTTGCCGACTCAGGCCGCCTGCTGCAAACCCTAAACCCTAGGATCCCCTGAAGCCGAAGACCCCTCGTCACTCCTTCAGCTGCGCTTCACGGTTTGTTAAGCTGGGGGGGGTGTTGGGTTCAGGGTTCAGGGTTCGGGTTTAGGGTTTAGGGTTTAGGGTTCAGGGTTTAGGGTTTAGGGTTTAGGGTTTGGTTGATGTTTTTCGAAGTGTTTCGGATGCCCGGAAGCTCCGCATCCTCCCAGATGCCCTTTTGGGCTTGCTACTCGTACCATAAGGACTATGGTGCTTAGTAGTGTCGGGGGCGCATATTTGGGGTTCTTCCTTTTTTGGGGTTCCTCTCATCAGGATTGTAGTGTTGTGGGCGCATCTTTGGGGAACCCTAACTAGCGAAGTATGGGGCCCTTAATTTGGGCCCCTTGTTCAATAACCCTTATATACACTATAACAATAAACATAGCAATAATAACAACAATAG